AAAGTCAGCCCCGTGCTACGCTATTTTGGAAGCACTGATAATAGAAATGAAACGTACAAATGTAACATATTTGTGGTCTGCAGTAACATACAATTGCAAAATTTTGACTGGGTTGTACACTAAAGTGGTGATTGTTAACATCATGCATGCCACAAGTTGCCGTGAAAGCATTTTCATTATGAGCTAGTTAGCAAGATGACATTAGCATTTAGCTCAAAGCACCACTGTGCCCAAGTGCAGCCTCACAGAGTTGCTGTGATGTGGCTGCAGACTCTTCATCTTGTAAGATAGATGGAGATGGAGAAGACAAAAGATAATAAGCTTTTCTAGTTGAGGGTAAGTGAGTAAAGACACACTAATGATGCTTCGCCTTCAATACGAATCACTAAAAAATCTGTTGAAGAGAACTGAGTATCTCACATGCCACTAATCACAGATCTGGAAAGACGCATGCTGCATTGCTTCATTGCCTTCCAGTTTACTGGCTTCTTTGACTTGACTGCAGCTGCTGTATGATTAGTGAATGTCTGCACATCTAATCTAATCTAATGTCAAGCGTTGATGTTACAGAACGCTTAAAATAAATCTTTGCAAGCAAATGTAATTATATCTGCTGTGGGAGCATATAGACATGATATCAATTCATCCATGTTTATTGAAAGTGGAACTGAAAAAAGCTCAACAACAAAATGTACATTAGATGTAAATATTCAGGGAGGACTCATGAAATGTACGTGTTACCCAGCTGGTTGACTCTTAAAGAGCTGCAGGTCTCTCTAAGCTGATCTATAGTAGCCCAGTGCTGTATCCATTGTCTACTGTTCCCTGTGCAGATGTCTCTGGAGACTGCCTCCAAAGAGAGAAAGAGCTTGATACAATTAATTCACCTCAGACCCTCATCACCACCTTTGTTTATTTGTCCTTTCACAGCGTTCTCGCCTTACATCAATCCCTCCATCCCTCCCCTCCTCTCTCCCTCTCTCTCCGTCTCTCTCCCTCTTCCACTGACCAGCTGCTTTCCTCCTCTCCACCCTCTCCACTGCTACCTGGCCCAGAGAGGACCAGCCCACCCCACCCCACCCATCCCGGTCCCGCAGGTAAACCAGAGACGCCCGGGGCACACCCTGGCTAGGAAAAGCCCAGGATCGCCTTACGGCCTAGCTGAAAAGGGTTCTTTCTAAAACAGCGAGTACATAACAGCCCCACTTTGAACAAAGGGCCAGGGGAGTCGAGGGACCAGACCCCCTTTCAGGGCTTTGTCCCTCCGCCTGCTCTGAGCTCTGAGTCAGACAGAGACTTGGACGCCACTCAAGAACTGGGATTGGAGAAACACGACAGATACGCAGGTGAGGAAGTCATAAGATCAAGGGCTGCAGGAGGGTTTGTTGCTGTTTAACGCTTTTTAATAAGCTCAGCTAAGCATAAACTTTTAAAAACAGTATAACAAGAATGAAAGTAAGTCTTTACAGCCCTAACCATTGTACTGACGTCAGCATTAAAACTGGACAAATTTGCAAGAAAAAAATGAGTTTCTTTAGAGGTCTACCCATCATTATTTCATTTTGTGGAGTTATTACTCCATTTTACGTACTGCAAATTATTCTGTAGAAGTTTCGGTGCGTTTAAAGTGACATGGAGCACTAATCCTGGGACCCACTGACAGACCAAACCTCACAGAGGAAACCACTTAACTGCACAGGTAAAGTGCGTGTGTGTGTGTGTGTGTGTGTGTGTGTGTGTGTGTGTGTGTGTGTGATATGGCTCGGTCAGAGCAAAGCTTAAGTACCTGAAAATCCCCCTCTTAACCTTGAGTCTCCCACTGACCTGCTGCTGAAATTCAATTCACAGAGCCGGTACTCAGTGACAGAACACATCAGAGACGACAGCAGACCACATGTAACTCACATAACATTTTTAAGTAATGATTCGTATCACGCTTGAAAAAAAGCAAGAACACTTAAAATACTAAGCACTTATTTGGCAGATGGTTTCGTATCTGAAATAAAAAACATGAAGCAATCCTTCCGCAATTTAGTGATGCACGTGTTTGGGACACTTGAGAGAGACTAATTTTTTTTAATTGGTGCCTCAGAGGCCAAAATATCCTGATTTTTACATCCTGTTAAGGTGTCATGCTCCAAAATCCTGATCCTACAACTTCCCTTAATGCAACATGGCTTTCATTCTGCCCAGTAAAACCATGTGTCCTTCAGTTGTTTTATCCAAATTGACACTGACACGTAGCCTGGAAATCCAGACCCAAATCTAGAAAGATGTAGGATCTGGCCAAGAGTAATGAAAATGGCCCAACTCAAGGGGCGGCACCAAGCATGCATTTGTAAATATCACTGCACACAATTGGATAACACTACGACCAATCAGAACAATACACGGGGTGACATATCCAGAGCTTAGCTACCAGCGGAGCTAACTGGTAGATTAGACTCTTCCGGTCGGCAAAACAACAAAAACGTCCTTCTTGCAAAGGAAAGATTTCAGCGCTGTCTTCTGTTCCTCTTTTAGACAAAAAGCCAAGTCTAACTCGTTCATTGTAGCGGCCAAAGCCGTTTCAAACAACTGGTGTTCATCCGTAGCCATCTTGCAATGTTTACTGACTGATTCTGGACTTCGTCGTCGCAGCACTGTCATCATCTGTTTAGTTCGCTTCTGGCCCGCCTATATCAGATACACCGATGTGATTGGTGCAGCTCGGTTTCATGGGCATAGGTAATGAGCATCATTACTGATTGCCAGAGGGATGCTGAGCAAATTCAAATTGTGCTCTCACGAGAACTCTGGATTTCCAGGGTAACTGACACGTACATTCAGTGCAGTGTCCCTTTAATCAGTGCAGCTCTAAGAGGAACCACCCAGACAGTTATTACCTCCGCCAAGGAGGTTATGTTTTCGCCGGCGTTGGTCTGTTTGTTTGTCTGTTTGTTTGTTTGTTTGTCTGCAAAATAACTCAAAAAGTTATGAACGGATTTTGAATTTTCAGGAAAGGTGAATAATGGGATAAGGAACAGATGATAAAATTTTGGTGGTGATCAGTTGAAGAAAAGTGGATAAAATAATAAATAAAGTCTATCGTCTGACAGCCACAGCAGCAATTCCAATTTCTAAAACGGTGAAAATATCGCCATCTGGTGGCCGGAAAGCAAATGTTAATGCAGTTGCTAAATATTGTTGTAATTCTAAAGTTGAAATTAATGCTCTGTGTTGGAAAAAAGAAAGTGAAAAATACAAAAAATTATTATAAAATATTATATTCTGTGTTGGTACAAAATAAAAACGAAATAAATACACCACAGTGTCTCCATGGTGAAGGCATATATGTCATCAAAATGATCAAATTCACCAAATAAATTAAACGATAAAATCACTCATGATGCCCGTTGTAATCCATTGCCTCTGCTCTGAGTCTCGTTGCTATGGTTACAAACAGGCAATTTGACCGGAACGTCTTTTTAGCTGTCCTATAACACCTTTTAACGGACACCCTGCAGCCAATCAGAATTTAGTATTCACCCAGACCATGGTATAAAACCTAATAATGATAGTGATGCAAATAACCCAATTGTGATGCAGGCTGCAAAATCTGATGCAGAGGGGGAGGGAATATCACCTACTTGGCGGAGGTCTGCACTCTCTGAGTGCTTTTCTAGTTTTGTTCTAATATCCAGTGACTGTATATAAAGAAGGACAGCGTGTCTCCACTTCCTCCCACTATACAAAAATGAAGCCAAAATATCCCAGACATGTGCACTGCCATCTTGCATTTTTGGAACCAGAGTCTGCACACTAGCGATGGCCCGTACACCAGTCCGACCCAATCATGAGCAGCACCACTGATGGTGAGCACACGGATTGACACACAGAGCTCACATTCTAGATGTCACACCCTTTTTTGTTGTTTTTTTTTAAAGTATGGATCGTGGACTTGTAGCTGGCGGGGTGCCCTTGAGCAAGGCACTGAACCCTCAACTGCTCAGGGCGCCTGTCCAAGGCAGCCCCCTCATTCTGTGTATATATGTGTGTGTATTTCGGGCCTGTGTGTATATGACAACGGAATGAAAATTTTTTAATTTCCCCTTGGGGATTAATAAAGTATATCTTCTTCTTCTTCTTTTTATAGCATCAAATAACTAATTAACACCAAATGTATCTTATAAATTATCACTTTATCATAAATCAGCGCGATAAGAACTACCTGAAATAACAGACACCATCTTTGGGAGAAATTTGGTAGATGTGTTCTTTGAGTTTTTATCTTGGCCCATGTCCAATCTACTGACATGGAGGGGGAGAACTAATGCAAAATGCACTCATTTGAAAAACACTGGTGGTTTTACTTTTTCCTTGTGAGAGAGAAGTAATTTTTACTATGGTCAACAGAGGGCGTTATAAACTCTTGCATAGTGTCAGACTGTATTCAACTTCACATTCTCACACTATCATCCTGTGGCTTTCAACTTTCTACAAACAGTCTTTGATTCTCAAACATCGTCTCTCTACACAAGTGCATCATGTGCAATAACAAAAATACTGTGTATGAAGATAGAAAAATAGATATATTTACTATAACATATAGTACAGTGTGTGTGTCAGCAATTTTGATACATCATAACATGTTTATTGTCCATTTATTGTTGCTTAAATTGTAGGATTGCTGATAGATTCATCTATGTATTCTCAGCTGTAGCGTACACACATGAAGGTGATCAGGCTGATAAAGTTCAGATCTGCATCTGTGTTGGAATGAAGCTGCAGCAACAGGGTCCTATTCAAAATTATTTATTTTTTCCTTCAACAGATTATGTTTACCCTCCTCAAAGTGATAAACAGTATCACTGATCTGCATTAGTGGCATGAGTGGCAGGTGAAGTCAGTTCACCTTATGTAGATGCTGGCAAATGTAGTTCCTAAATGCTTGTAGGAGTTGCAGCATGTTGCCACTAGAGGTCCATGTGACCACACTCACAAACTGCATCCAGCTCAGCTCAGTTGTTTTTGTGAATTAACAAGATTATTATGAATTCAGACAAATGAAAACTTTTTTTTTTCTGTGAAAAGTTTTATTGTAACAGAGATAATAATCTTGTTAATTTAGAAAAACAAGAGCAGATGCTGCTATGAAAAAATTAAAAAGTAAAAACCTTCATGTACTGTTGTGGATATGCAGAAATGTCAGAGACAGATATGAGCAGTATCTCTTGGAAAAATAAAAATAAAAAAAATGTGAGAGTCTCTGTAGTTTGAGTGAACTGATCCTTTAAAGCCTTCAATGCCTGTAAGACAGCACCGAGGGCAGAGTGAGCTCAGGCATCAGCTGGGTGACATTGCGGAAGGGTTAGGACCCCTCCCCTCCGCCTCCCAACAACACACCGGGAGTCAGGCTCCAGCATCAACAGGAGCGGAGTCAACAGGCGGGTCGGAAATCATCCGAGGTCAGAGCGGATCCCACCGGACATGGCCCAGGCGAATATCTCGGTGACGGAGAGCCAGTTCAGGTGTCCCGTCTGCCTGGACATCCTCAAGGACCCGGTGTCCACCCCCTGCGGACACACCTACTGCATGTCGTGCATCAACAACTACTGGGACCAGGCGGAATCGGGCCAGTTCAGCTGCCCCCAGTGCCGGGAGACGTTCAGCCCTCGGCCGGTGCTGCGGCGGAACACGGTGCTCGCCGAGGTCGTCGACAAACTCAAGCTGAGCGAGATGGTCACGGCGCCGCCGGAGCTGTACCTGGGGGGAGTCGGGGAAGTGCCGTGCGACTTCTGCCCGGCGGAGAGCAAGCTGAGGGCGGTCAAGTCGTGCCTGGTTTGTCTGGCGTCCTTCTGCGAACTCCACGTCCTGCCGCACCGGGAGGTTGGCACGCTGCGGCGGCACAAGCTGGTGGCCGCGGTGGAGTGTCTGGCGGAGCGGCTGTGCGCACAGCACCGCCTGGGTCTGGAGCCCGCGGGGAGCGGCTCCGAGGCGGAGGCCGCGGTGGAGTGGAGCGGGGACTGCCTACTGTGCGAGGCGGACCAGGAGGAGGTGCACAGTGCGGACGCCCAGAGAACCAGGAGACAGGTACTGACACATACTTTAGGTTTCATGATAATATACACATGTAGACTCCCAGACACCAAGTTGATACAGTTGGTTCCCAAATTCTCTCCAGTAGAGGAAAGAATCAGACTCTTAAAATATGGGTAGGCACAGTTTTCAATGTCAGAGATGCACAGATGAATTTCATCTCAAACTCTTTATGCTTAGTGTGAATTCAGATAAGGGACTGTTCATTATTTATCAGATGAATGGGGTGGCTGAGGTGTGACTTTGTTTTGTGCTTTTTTGTTTTCTTCACCTCACCAAAGCTACAAATATTTTTCCTTGACCCTGCCTAATGCCTAACAGAAAATGCACGACCCTCCCTCCACTATGAATTAGCTATTGGTAGGATTGGGGATAAAAAATCGATACAGCACAGTATCTTGATATTTTTGCGTGCCAATATTGTATCGTCACACAGTGCCAAGGATTGATTTTTTTATTATATGAATTATTAACATGACAAGTACAACTTAAAACTTAGGTAACCTAGTAGAATAATATAATCAATTGTTTTTCAGTCCACTAGACACATTTTGTTGTTGCAAAAAAATGGCTGAAACGACATGTACAGACTGAAAACTTTACCGTTTTCGATAAAACAGATGCCGACAAAGTTTTCCTTTGGGGACATAATTTACAGTTGAAAAAAGAAAAAAGGTAATGAATCCCAATATATCACAGTATATTTTATCGCAATACCCAGCATATCAGAACGTATCTAAAATGGCAATAATATTGTATTGGGACTTAAGTATAGAGATAATATCATATCGTTGATCCTCTGGTGATTCCCACCCCTAATTATTAGAATTTTAAAACTTCGCCTTTGGTGTTTGAAAGTTAAAAGTGAAAAGTTTAAGATGAAATCTTAAAGCTGAAAAAAACTCAGTCTTTCACTCTTGTGGTGCATGCTGGTGAGTTGATGCAAACAGTTTATTTTTGGCCAAATTTTAAATAAGACATAGAATAAAGGGATTTTGAGGAAGTGTCACTGATATAAGTTAAGATTCATTTTTTGTTCTTCTTTTTTTCTGATGGAAGTGTTGGTCTCACATAATGGGATGTAGGACCGTCAGGAATTTGAAAATCTAATGATTCTGTGTCTATATTTTGAATTTATTGTACTCTGAATTTTAAAGAAAACATGCCTTCCAAACTCATGCATTTTCTTTAAAAATTGAAAGAAAATGTGTGAAAACAATTGGCCTTTGTTTGGAAGGCATGTAAAAAAAAAAAAAAAAAGGAAGAATCACAGGCAGAAACTGTAAAAACAGAAATTATCATTGAACACAACGTGCAACAAACATAACATAACCAAAACTGAGCTTATAATAGTGATATTTCATCAAAACCAAATTCTACATCTCAGTTAAAATTTGGCCAAAAATAAACCGTCTGCATAAACTAACCAGCATGCACGACAGGCGTGAAAAATGGCGTTTTTCCAACTCCAGTATTCTTAAACTTTAAAATTTACCTTTTTAACCTGCAAACATCACAGAGTTAGTTTTACAAATCTAATAACTAATTCATGGTGGAGGGAGGGTCATGCATTTTCTGCCACTCACTCAGAGAGGCTGAAGGAAAAATATTTGTAGCTTTGTGGAGGGTTGAAACAAAGTCACACCTCAGCCACGTCCCTCCTCTGATAAGTAAAGAACAGTCCCAAATGAACTGCATCTGAGTCAGTTTGACTGCTTTTGACAAGCCCTTTAGTTCACTTGTAGCAATTGGGCAGTATGTGTCTAAAAGGCAACAAATAACAAAAGGAATTAAGATAAACATTGCAGTTATTTGTATTAAAGAAAACATGGCAGAGGAGGCGTACTTACAGCCTGACAGGCCAGTGCCATTAGGATAAGCTATCAACATTCTAGATTGTACTTACAGTATTTTAATAGTTCTGCTCTTACAATATGAACCACAACACAGCTTTTAATGGATAAAATGTCTACAGCGGATTACAGAATCACAGCAGCTCTCACTGAGTGGACAAACATTAATTTTAGAGAATGTTGCTTTTCACAAATTCCTGAATGGTTAATGGTTTATCAACTATCAGCTGCAGCTCCAGGAGTGTCAGCGGATCGTTCAGGGGAGGACACGCAGCGGAGAGAGAGAGTTGGAGGAGTTTCAACAAAGCTTGGAGTCCCTCAAGGTGAGACACACACACACGCACACACACACACACACACACACACACACACACACACACACACACAAAATTAAAACACATGAATTACATTTCAGTAAGTTACATTAAAAGATTAAGTAGGCAGGTCTTAAGATATTTCTTAAAGGAATCAGCAGATATTGTATGACGCAGATTTAAAGGCAGGTTATTCCATAGTTGATCCATAGTAAGAGAAAGCAGCCTCTCTGCACTTAATTTGTCTTAACTGTTGATACATCTAATGTTGTGGTGTTCACTGACCCAGAGAAGCAACTACAGAGGGAGAGACAGTTGACTAAGAGCGTCGTAAACTAGTAATTACATTTTAAAATCAATTCTAGAGGAGACAGGAAGCCAGCGTGAAAATGGGAACATGTGTGTATGTGTTCTCTTCTCCTGGTTTTTGTTAAAGCACAGACAGCTGCATCTTGTAGCATCTCTGTTTACAGATTTTGTAGTTATCCATTTTAGAGAGAATTGAGACAGACAATGAGAACACCAATGCACAAATACATTTTTGTAATTTGTAATTTCAGATATTTTCTTCACATTTGATCTGTAATATTTTTAAGGCATTCTGTTAAACAAATGTAAACTTCTATGCAGCATTTAGAGTTGCTGCTGGTGCATTAAATAAAAGGCCTCTCATCCACAAGTAAACTGACCATTCACCGTTCTCTTCTTCCCTTAGGTGGTTACTTATACTTAAAGGTACTGTACGTAACCTGATATATGTATTAATTGCTTTTTATTGCCAGTGGATGAACAGGTTGTAAAGTAACGCTACAGCGCTAACAGTGTGCAGCATCAGCTAACCTGAGCTAAGAAATGGAGTCTACTAATGGAAATAAACAGCTGGCACTCATCACAACACCAAGGCCACACATGCTGTGTTTCAGTCATACATTTCACAGCGGCGGCTCAGCAGAGACAGATCTTCACTTAGCACCCTGTAGCGACACGAATTCAGCCAGGGCAAGACAACACGCCAAAATACTGTCTGAGTGGATATGTCAGTGTCAGTTTTTGTTAAAACGAAGGCAGCTGCATCTTAAAGAATATAGGTATGAGATTTTCATGGTACGATAATCGTCTTCGAAAATATTGCAGCTAAAGGCAAAATTACACATGAATTCCTGCCAGGAGGCGTGATGGATGTGACGCGTTTGACACAAAATACGCAAATTAAGCGGCGCTAATGAAGCGAATAGTGTAATTTTGCATCATACTCTTTATTTGCCAGAGTTATAAAACCTGAACCTCAGCGACTGATTTCAGCGGTAGCCAGCAAGGATGTACCGGTGGAAGTTCATTCATTGATTCAGCAATTTCACACGCTAATGACATGAGTTATTCGCGCATGTGAAGCGAGTCAACACAAAATATTGTCGCATTCAAGCTTGTGCTAGTAATGCCTTGTGAAAATTCGAAAATTTGCATTGCTTTTGGTGTGAACACAACATCTTTTCCACTCCAGTTCCAGCACCTAATTTTTTTACCATTTGGAGCATTTGGAAAAAAAATAAATTGGTTCAGAACCCGAAAACTTGGTTCCTAGCTAGAACCAAAAAATAACAGGGTTTTCTTGACTGACCTGCAGTGTGAACTGTGGCGACAGCAGTGGGTATGTCATATTCTACAGGTTGGAAAGAGAGAATGGAGAAGGCAACAGTTTAGAAGTTAAGTAAGAAATCATCAGAAATAAAGAGCTTGCAGTGGACTCATTAATATTTGGCCCATGCTTGTTTTTTGGATTAAAAAAGACATGTAATAACAGGACAAAAACTTACGAATAACAATGCAATCTGCCATCTAGAGTCGCTGCTACTACTTCCAAAGCCTGGCATCTCTGAATGTATTTAAGTCCATGATCAATCCCATTGTATCCAGGCTTTATGAGTGTAAATGTTTTATTTGATCTCGACCTGATTGTGTAAATTCAGTTCTTTGTTATTTGTATCTCTTATGTCTATGTTTAATGTGACAATGTGTTGAAACTATATGTGCTGCCATTCTTGGCCAGGTCTCTCTTGTAAAAGAGATCTTTGATCTCAATGGGACAAACCTGGTTAAATAAAGGTTAAATAAAAAAAAAAACTACCACTACTTTTGTTGTGCATTGCCAAATAACAATGGTCCAACTCAAAACCGGTGGAAACACAAGATGATGTGCTAGATGACACTGAGGTTCAAAGAGCCCTGAAAGGAACCAATTCAGGAGTAAGGGAGAGGGGTCACTAATGCCAAGGATTTTCTCAAAGTAACATTTCTTTGGTTTTTAACAAACCATTCTTTTGAAAGATGTGCACATTTTGATTAAAAGATTTGTTCATTTCAGTAAAATTATGATCATCAGGTGCAGTTAATATTAGTTATTATATATTATAGGTTGAATAAGTATACAGTAGTATGCAACAGTTTTCTCCAGCTGCAGTATTTTGCTGCCAGGGATTGATTAATAATTGTGATCAATGACTGTGATCTCAACATTAAGCCAAGTAATTCATGCCAGTCGTGCAGCCAGGTTAACATGATGTAATATACACAGTAGTGTAGCATGGCATGTGCTATGTAAAGCACATGAGATAAAGAGTTACATAAATAGACTCGACTTGACATTTACACAACACACACAGCCTCCACGGTGACATCAGGCTCACACACCCGCCTCTATCTCTCTCTCACACACACACACACACACACACACACAGACACACGCACATGCTCCTCACACACACAAACACTCCGCCTCACAGGAGCTGTTGTATCAGTTTCCACTGCAAAGCTAATTTAAGTTCCAGTTTCTATGCCACTCCTTCGGTCTTCCAGGAAAGCCTTTTCTCCTCCCTCCCCTGAGCATCATCTGCATCCAACCAGCTCCTGGCAAACTGGGAGGCTGCTGTATTAGCTCACTTGAAAATAAGCTCGAAATCAGCCTTTAATCAGATCTGGGATATCAGTTTGTCGTCTTTTCCACTGCTTAGATGGTGGAGGTTTATTTCTGAGCACAGCTATGTGAAATGTGCACTGAGACTTTCTTGCTTTGTTTGTTTTGTTTGGTGTAGAGAGTTGCATGGTCCCAGGACGGCCTGAATTTCTTTTCTGAGGTTTTTTTAGTCCTGATAAAAATACAGTTTGGCAGCACACTCTGCACCCTCGTCATTATTTGGTCTGAAAATAGATAAAGAGCACCAAAGGTTGGAGAAAAATATTGTTGTGGCATAAAATCTCAGAGAATCTTAAGGTAATGGTTTTGTTTTACTCATATGCTTACTTGTATAGTTATGTGGGAAACAACATATCAGCAGTGTCCAATGAAAATTAATAAACTCAAGGATTAAGTATTCCTTTACTGGCTGATAAAGTTGTCTCTTAGGGTAAATAAATCATGTTAAAAGCTATTGGATTTTTTTGAAGAAATAAAGTCTCAAAGCTGAGAACTGATTGGCTTAGTTGATAAAAAGTTTTGGAAACATAAAACATAGAATACAAGAAATGCCAACTTCATTCACTTTATCTATATGATTCCTGTTGGAGGATTTTGTAATGCGTCATAACACATCTTTCTAAGCTGTAAAACTGTTACACATCATTGACGAGATTCAGTTGAGAAGCATCAGTGGATTCAAGTTTTTCTGTGGCAGATGAGGTTGCCATTAAAGATTCACCATTTCTTAGAAAGTGACAGGATTCTAGAAGTTTGAATCCTCTGCTTCATTGTGTCTTTAAGTCTTTGCTTTGTTCTACTTTAACTACTCCTGTTTTCCATTGTCTGACTGTGTGTGTGCATGTTTCAGGTGTCAGCGTCGGCTGTTTTGGAGGACAGTGAAGCTCTGTTTGCAGACATGGCACTCCGCCTGGAGAAAACCAAAGCAGAGGTGAGGAGCAAGGGCGAGAAGTATCAGCTGTAAGGTTACCAATGTAGCACTTGGGCTTGGGCCTTCTTGTAATTCCACTGGGGTATACTGAACATGAACATATTTGTGTAACAAATAAATAAATAAATAAAATAAGAAAATGTAAAACCTGAGCTACTGGCGATAGAAGCTATTCAGTACTTAAGTAGTTCAGGACTCCTGTCCAATATACCCAGTATACAAGCACAGGAGGGGCATTGATTTACTGACCAAAATATGTCCAAATCTGCTACGATATGCCCCTTTCACTTTGTTAATATTGGACCTTCTTCTGGTTGACCTATTACGTCACAGACCAAACAATCAACAAACAAGTTAGCTACAGTTAGCTAGCAGCAAACTGGTACCATGATGACAACTTAACAGCTCTGTACATTTTGTCCGTCCAAAAATGAACAGCTCTGGGTATAGACTTCACCATGTTGTTACTGGCTTCTTCTTCTGATACGCATTTAATGTTTTCGACATTTTCGACTGGGTGTGTTAGTCAGACTTTGAGAAATTTGATTTAGTACGATTTCAGTCGGACTAACATGTTTTAAAGGTCTGATTTTAGTCGGACTAACACAATAAATCGATTATCTCCAATGTCATGTTAACGCACTGATTGTAGCATGGATGTCATTGTCCAGCCTGCAATGCTGTGTGTCTAATATACAATTAGCATTCATAGATAAGTCTTGCAGGTTTAACTACGTGTGGCCCATAGACTCATGAACAGATAGGAAATAAGCACTCCTCTTGCTGGAGGACTCGATGACACTTGTTGCTGCAGTGGATACCAACACATCAGTGGGCTAAACAGAGATGATGGGTTGAATAAAATCATGTTGCTAAAAAGCTACTTTTGTACTTGAAAGAATCCATCTCAAGATAAAGTTATATTTGACAATACTCCCAAACACGGGCAGAGGCATCTTTCTTTTTTACTAGTCCTGTAATGTTATCCCCACCACTTGCAGTCTGCATCTTTCTCAGCTCAGCTGCCCAGTTCCACCAGTAGAGACTGACCCCTGGTGGCGGATATTGTGTATTACAATACATCCCGTCAATACAGCATCTCCGTATTGGTTTCACAGGAAGAGGTGCATCTGTACTTTGCACAGTACTGAAAATACTTTCATGATTTTTAAATACCCCAGTATACTGTAATACCTTGATACCACTCAAGGCCTGTGGCAATTGGAGTGCTAGTAATAGCAGCAGTGATTCTCTTAGAAATCAGTAGAAGTACCAGTAGAACTCAGAAGAGTAGATAAAGTAGCCTTAGAAGTGTCGAAGTAAAAATAGTACCACTAACTGTAGTTCTGCTTTTAAAGTATCAGTTGTAGCAGTAGCTGTAAAAGTACTATTGGACTCTAGCAGGTGCGATCTGAGTTGCGCAGATCAGTTCAATACACTTGTTGATACCAGTTTAACAGAAATCCTGTTCAGTCTTCTGTATCATTTCTGTGGGTCTGAACGACTTGGTTCTTACACCGATGCCACACTCATGGTACATAAGGCACTTTGACATGGTCAAGGTAAGGCAAGTTTATTTATGAAGCACATGCCAGGAACAGGGCAGTTCACAGTCCTTTACATGAAACACCAAAAGTATCCAGACAAAGTGCAAATTAACGCTTTGTAGAAGGACATATAAGTACAATTAAAACAGCCATTAATGAGCCAAGAGAATGGAAAAAACGAGCTGAAATAGAAAATAAAGTAAAAGGATGAAAGTTCTTGTACAGTGTAAGAAATTAATGATTGTTTGATTCAATAAAAGGCAGAGGTAAACAGAAAAGTCTTCAGCCTTGATTTAAAAGAACTAAGAGTTGCAGTGAATGTGCAGTTGTCTGAGAGCTTGTTCTAGATGTATGGTGCATAAAACATTTAACACTGCCTCTAAATGTTGAGTTTTGACTCTTGGGACACATAGCACACTAGATGACCTGAGAGGTTTGGATGGTTCATAACGTAGCAGAAGATCAAAAATGTATTGTGACTCTTTCGATTAGAACATCTGTTTATGTGCCATAGGTCCGAGCGAGGCTGGAGGCGAAGGAGCGGGCGGTGGTTGGGAGGGCCGAACGAGATATAGAGATGTTGGAGAAAGACCTGGAGGAGCTGAGGAAGAGAGACGAGGCGATCAGTCAGCTTCTGCACACGGAGGACAATGCCCATTTCCTACAGGTGAGGTGGAGAAAGAGGGAGGATGCAAGGGGGGAAAGGGAGTAAAGACCCAGGAACAAGAATAACTTCACAGTGGTGAAAAAAGGGGGAGAATGAAGGGCTAATGGATAGAGGAAACAACCACGTTTAAACACAACGCTACATCAAGTTGGCAGCACACATCAGAACGCCAGTGCTCCGTACTCTCGATAGGTTTGCTGTCCCAAAACAAGTAACTCTTCAACAGTGGAAACCGAGTAATGCTGTACGATTCTGAGATAGGGACAGAAAGCCAGTGGAGGTTCGGGCAGCAGAGTTATTTAGGACTTTGGATGATGAACCATTAAGAATGCTGTTACAGTAGTCAATTCTGAATGTGATGAAAGCATGGATTTTGGTAGCAGAGGGGAGAGCGATGGGCGGAGACGAGCTATGATGTTTTTTTAGGTGGAAGAAGGCAGTTCTGGTGATTTGATTGCCATGTTTTTCGAAGGAGAGGTTGTTGTCAAAAATAACTCTGAGGTTTCGGATGTGTAGTAAGGATCTGAGTACAACAAACCATGGTGACATCGTTTTATCGTGCTTTTATTGAATCAGTTGTATCTTTTTCATCTGTGACATGGTTTGGAAACCTATCTTTAAAAAGCAGAAACTCTGAATCAGATTATTGAATGGTCTGATTGGTGAGTCACAGCTGAACCCAGAGTCCCTGTACACCAGGGCACAGTGGATAACCAGCTTGGTTGAAAGTGATTTCAGCTTCTTCTTTGTGGACATTGGTTAATAGTACCAAGGTATAGATAAAGCAGGTCTAGACCATACTCTTAATTTACAGAGACCCAACGAGTAAAACAAATTCCCTCCAAGAGCAAGCACACTATGCAACAGTGGCAAGGATAAGCTTCTTTTTAAGAGGCAGACACCACCTACAGAACCAAGATGCTGTGTTGGGTGACCATCTGCCTCTGCCGTTTGGGTTGAAGGGAAGACGGCGAGAGGGACACAGACATGCACAGCAACAACAATAATCACATTAATAGCTGTAATAATAGCAGAGATATGACCAGTAATAATTATAGCAGTGGATATAATGGAGTACTTTCATTAGTAGCAATAATAGAAGCAATGATAATAAAAATATGACTAATGATACTGACAGTGGCAGTGTTTAATGGAATAGTTTTAATAGTAGCAATAATAACACTTGTGATAACAGAAGTATAACTAATGACATTATCAGTAGTTGTGGGTGTTAAGCAGGAACAACCACAATCCAAGAAACCTGTGAGGTGAGAAGCACAGACTGTGGGGAAGAGGCCAAGTTAGTAACATGTATTAATGGGACATGAATGCATACAGATGTAAAGAAAATGGAGGAGTGCTGTTTCAGTACAGTTCAGTTCAGTTCGTACGCTTTTTTTTTACGTTTCCACTGTTGTAAATGGAACTGTTCCGTACCGTCCCCATGTTTGGTCCCCCCTCTGTTGGGGTACCTATCACACAGATCTGGTACTAAAAGGTGGAGCTGTGAACACTGCAGTCTGTTGATTGGTCAATAGAGGACGGTCACACTGCTCAGGGCTGAGTTGTGTCTAGTTTTGAGGCTCCTGTAACTACTGTTCATACTGTGGCAAGTCTTAAGTCTCATTTTCTTGTAATGTTACTCAGTGCATGAGTTGATGACGTGAATCCATCAACTCACCGTAAACTTCAATATGACAACTTTGACCATTCCATTAGTTTTTATCGTCTCTCTTGGATGACTTTTAGTAATGAGCGTATTTTCAAGCGTTTAAAAATACCCATTAACTTCAGATGGATTATGTGATCTGCATATATTCTAATCCTCACTTGGAGGGAACAAAAGTGTCGCAGAGCTTCATTCCTGTGGGCTATGGCAACCTTAAACCCCTGCACTTGCCTGAGGAGGACTCAATGCACAAACCAGTTATTTTTAATCATGCCATAGACAGAGTGCTAGATGGAGCAGTGAGTGACAACAACCCCTCCCACATTTAAGAGTACTGTTTGGGGTAGAAACGTAAATGGGCCTAGAGTCTTGGTACCATGTTTGAAAGGTTACTTAAAGTTCCAAGGGTACCATACCAAAAGTGTTTGCTGGAAATCAGGGCTTTAGTGCATCAAGGGAAAGTCCTATGTAGCAGCTTAACTAGGGGCTGGTTCAAGGCAAGCCTGAGCCAGCCCTAACTATAATCTTTATCAAAGAGGAAAGTCTTAAGGCTGCTAATAAATGTGGAGACAGTGTCTGCCTCCTGGACCAAAACTGGAGGATGGTTCCACAGAAGAGGAGCCTGATAGCTGAAGGCTCTGGCTCCTGATCTACTTCTGAAAGCTCTAGGATCCACAAGTTACCCTGCATTCTTGGAGCACAGTGGTCTGGTGTTACAGTAGGGTACTATGAGCTCTCTAAGATATGACAGTGCCTGAACATGAAGAGCTTTAAAGTCGAAGAGAAGGGTTTATAATTTGATTCTGGGTTTTACAGGGAACCAGTGCAGAAAACAGGAGAAATTAGATCTGTTGTCAGAGTTCCTGTCAATGCACCTGCCACAGCATTCTGGATCAGCTGGAGGGTCTGTAGAGACTTATAGGAGCAACCTAGAAATTGCAGTCGTCCAGCCTAGAAGTAACAAATGCTATCGTAGTAGTAGCAACGTTTAAGAAATGCAATAGAGACAACTTTTATTAAATTATTTTGGTGATTATTGGCACCTGGGTACTTTTATATTGTCTTTCTGTTGTCTGTGTTGTTTGTAAAATGTGTGTCAAGATGGATGCCTGGCTCCCACTGCAAATCAAATCCACCTACAGGTTACTTTGCCTTACTTCCTCCACTGCTGCATATTAGCAATTCTTGCATTTGATATTCATCCATTACGTCTAATGCATCCTGGAGGCCATAAGAAGTCACCAAAGTGCATAGTGCCCAAAGAGATCAGCCTGTAGATGAGGGATGGAGGAGGAAGAACAGATGAGAGGAAAGAATGAGTCAGCAGTGACCAGTGGAAAAAAAGACAGCATCTGCTTAAGTGCTATTTTCAAATTCAATTGTACAAGGAATTAAGGAGGAGGGCGGGCGGGGTGTGGATGCTACGCCAGGCTGTATTTTCCACTCACTCTGTCCATATCGACCCAGGCGGCTCCCCTGCTATGCGTCCCTCTCACCACCGGTCGGCACTCTAGAGCCCTCAGCCTGCCCACAGAGGGTTTCAGCGGCGCCAGGAGAGCGCTGTGCCACCTCCGCAGCCGCATGGAGGAGGTCTGCAGGGAGGAGGTGGACAAGATCAGCCGCGCAGGTACAGCTATGACCTACAGGCAGGAGGACAGACTGAGGATGATGTGATGTACTGAATGCTAAAAAATGTACTAAATACTCAAACATGTAGACACTAGCTCCTCGGGCAGATTTAAAGTTTAAGCATTTAAACAAACTCAGCATATAAAGTAGATTTATGCATTCAAGATGTCAAATGTCTCACACAGTTTCACACTGTTGTAACTTTTTCTTCCAGTTAACGAGAACTACGTGTCTGGTGCAGAGTGTGCAAAAGGTAAGCATGAGAAACATGATACGCAAACACACACACACACCCTCTGTGTCAGTGTCAGGTCTGAGGTGACCCATTTCTACCAGGCTGAAGGTTTTGACATGACATTTAACACTGCGAGGGACAGTGGACGTGTTAATTATTCATGCTGAAGAGGACAGGGCGATGTCTGATACAACACACTCTGGCTCACATCCAGCTCTGCTCCGGTCTAATCATTTCAGTTTAGTTTAATTGGAAGCAATCAAACCAGAAATGAGCAAAACACCAGCACTCACGGATAAATAGTCCTCTTCTTTATTGTGGCCAAAAAGTTGGAAGCCATCATCAGTGTGAGACAAAACAGGAGAAATGGCAATTGAGAAAAGGGACGATATAATTGCATTGTGGGTTCCATCCTTGAATAACCCACCCAGAAATGGCCTCTCCTAATGAGGAGGTACTTTGAACCCTCTATTCCTACAGCATTCATTAGTGTACTTTGGAGAGTTGTAATCATAGACAAAATGTATTTCTATTTTTCCTAAGTAGAGGTCAAACACAGTGTGAAAGTAGGTACATTATTAAGGTTTTTTCTGTATTATAGTCTTATATTTATGTGCATCTTGAGCATTCAGTTATATGTATTCATTATCTTTACGGAAGAGCATTGCATCCACAAAAGAAAAAAAATTAACCACTTTATCTAGTAATTATGAGTTACTATATCTCTGCTTTTATTTCCTTCTCAGACACTGAGAAATATTAATGTTGACCCACATGTCATTGTGTCTAAGTGACACAATGCTATCGCTACTGGGCTCAGATTATTATTCTAAGTGTCTGACAACATTATGAAAGGTATCCCTACAGAGATAGTCTTTTAAGAATCCTTTTTGTTTAACCAGAAACATCCCCAAATTTGCTATTGCCAGACCTACCAGACTTCATTTAAATAAACAGTCATTTTAGCATGTATAGAGCCACGATGTTTTCACATCTAACTGGGTGATTTAAGGGTTTATTTTAATCAAACCAGAGTTGGTGATTGCTGTAACAGTGGAAAGACAAACCAAGATGGCTTTTGTGAGTTTTATTTGGTTTCTGTCGACTTTGAATAAAGTGTGTTTTATGTTGATAAGAATACTGTTTATTTAAATGCAGTTTGGTGGGTTTTGAAGTAGCAATTTTGGGGATGTTTCTGGCTGAACAAAAAGGATTTTACTCTGTAACAGAAGGTCTGTTTCTGTAGCGTTCTTTTCGTAATGTTGTCAGACACTTACAGGGGCGTAAATTGATGGTGTACAATTGCGCAAGTGGTTACATCGCAGCGTAGACTGTATCATTGCAGCCTGTTTTGCTGCTGTACACCTCTTCACCCTTCCACACGCTTACATGGAAAGCCTCAAGACAGACAGAACCCACCTTTCTGCCCATCCATGCGCCTATGTGGAAAGCCTTAAGGGAGAGAGAGCAAACCTCCCTGCCCTTCCATGCGCCTATGTGGAAAGCCTTAAGGGAGAGAGAGAGAGCAAACCTTTCTGCCCTTCCATGCGCCTACATGGAAAGCCTAAGGGAGCGATCACACCGAGATGAAACGTTAGAAACGCGATGCCAGTAAAACCATTGTTTTCCTATGATACGGCGCGTCTGACCGGCGTTCAAGCATCTTTTTAGACGGGCGTTTTTGTAGACGCTTCTTTTTAGACGCATGTTTTTAGACGTGCGTAGACGCTGAAAAGTTAAAATATTTTCAACTTTTTGAGCTTCAGACGCCAGTAGCTAGCGCACATTTAATAAGCGCTTCCAGCGTTTCAAGCGTCTTTGAAGTGTCTGCGTCTCTAGCGTCTCATTTCTGTGCCATCGCCCCCTAAGTCAGGGAGAGCAGCAAAAAAGACCCCCCGTAACAGAACAGAGCAGCATCATTGACAAACAGAAATTACGTTGATAAGTCAGACACAACATGAAAAGGAGGAGCTGGGGTGGAGGCAGGTTGCAAAGCGGCTTGCAGAGGAAGCAGCAACAGTAGTCAGGCCTGAGCAGTTTAAATAGGGCGCCCTGAATGAGATTTGCCAATTGTTGCATAGAAAGGAATCATGTGATCTATCAGCTGACTCCCTTCTATCAATCCAGTGGATGATCAGCTGACGTAGCTGGGATGTGAGCTGAGCTTACCATCGTGTCCTCCCCAAACTATGCTCAATTTTTGTTTTACACTGATTGTCGTTTCTAGCTGAAACATATTTGTTTTTCCCCACAATAAATAAGAAGACTATTGATCTGTGAGTGTTTGATTCGATGTCTGCCACAACCATACACCCAATACAGTGTTCAAGATTTGGAGCTGTGTGCGCTGCTATTTTTTACCATACCAAACAATCAGACTCCAACTATTTAAGTTTAAAATGAATTAGCTTTATGGAAGAATTTCGATGACAATGAAAACTCTCCTCAGCTACGTCTGTGGATTTTCCAGTCTAACTAACTGGGACATTGCTGATTTTGTTTTGTTACTCTTGGCACTGTTGAGTTCTTTGAAAATATATCAAATACCATTCATGTCTATTGTATTGGGGAGGTGGCAGTGCGGAGAACTCCAAACCACAGCAAGTACATCCAACACTATCTGCAGGGCAACAAACCACTGGGGGTAAGTGTTGATTGTCGGGGTTTTGGTTATATTTGGTGAACTAACGCTTTAACTCAACAAACAGCTGTTTTTGGCTTTGTTATCATGCTAACTAACCAGCAGGCTAATTTAGCAAATCTATCACTCTGAAGGGAATACCTTGGCATTTGTTTGGAAACACGCTTATTCACTGTCTTGCAGAGATCAAAAGTGTATTTCACCAAAGTCTGAACTACTCCTTTTATTATCAAGCCACTCTGTGTAGGTTTCCATATTTTGGCTCCATCTGACGGGAGTGTCAAGAACGTGAGATGAATGGGTTAAAAGCGACACATATATTTTCCCACAAACATAAATGTATGCCACCACAATCATTTAAAAGATGTAACTCACATACCTATTGTACATGTACTGACTTTATTGTTTAGGGCTAATGTAACATGCTTGGCAAAGTTGTATTTGTTTACAAGGTGTCATCACTGAATAATCATATTTTTATGGCATCATTATTTCTCAGGCGCTTCTCTCTGTGTGGGTTCTCTGGCTGTGCTTGTTTTTTCCTGTTTTGCCACTGACATTGCTCGTGTTTTTTAATTGCCATTTCTGTCTCACTTATATGATGGCGTATTAGGGTCTTTCTAGGTTAAAAAATAAAATATGGAGCTGCGGAGGAAGGTAATATTCCAAGGGGAAAAAAATATGATTTTTCCAAGATTAAAGTCTTAAATTTACTAGAATGAAATCATAGACATTCTCTGTAATTAAAGTGGTTAAATTTACAAAAAAAACCTGACAAATTTACTGCCAGAAAGTTAGGTGGAGTATTATAAAGAGTGGCGAAGTTCAGATAGGAAGGAAACTGTTGTGGATGAATGGGTCAAGCACAGGACTTTCACTCAGGAGACTGGGTTCTGTGTCCTGTGTGAGTCAGTGTTGACATAAAATAATTTTAAGACTCAGTTGACTTGTTTTGAGTTTTTAGAACATATAAAGCTGCTGAATGCACACTGCATAAACTCAAGAAGAATAGCTGAATAGGCCCATTTGCATTAACGTCATGTTTGGATGTTGTATGGACACTCAGGAAGGATGTCCAGCTGATGGCCAGATAACGTCCTGGATGTCAGCACAACTTTTATTTTTGGACTGTCGCGAGCCATAACAGGACGCCTTGATTCAACACATTCTCACTTACAACTCGTCAAATACCGACACTTGGTCAGTTTGCCCACTTGCCAAAAAATGGCGCCTTAGGTACCCCTCCTGCGTCAGTTTTGGATGTGCAGGGACAGCGTGTCAGTTTACGCTTTCATCGTCTCTTTTCAAAATAAACTTCCATTTTCACAGGAAATACACAGTTACTTCTCGTTAAATGGATCCATTCATTAATTTTCTGTAACCACTTATCCTGTTGGTGGTCGTGGGGGCTGGAGCCTGTCCTAGCTTACATTGGGCACAAGGTGGGGTTCACCCTGGACAGGTCACCAGACTTTCACAGGGCTGACACATAGAGACAGACAACCATTCACACTCTCATTCACATTTATGGACAATTTAGAGTCACCAATTAACCTGCATGTCTTTGGACTGTGGGAGGAAGCCGGAGTAGCCAAAGAAAACCCACACTGACACTGGGAGAACATGTAATCTCTGCACAGAGGGGCTCCCGGGTTTGATCCAGGAACCCTCTTGCTGTGAGGCGGCAATGCCAATGCTTACCACTGCACCAGTATTTGTAGTTGGGTGTGAGACCGGGTTGCTCAATTGGACGTCCAAAAAACTGTTGTGTTAAATGATGAGGTTGATCAATTCTTGCAAAAAGAAGCATTGTGGTTCTTTTACTCCTAAATTTATGTCTTCATAATCTGAGAGAATATCTAAGTTTTTTTTGGGTGAATTTACAACTTTAATCTCACAATTCTTTTTTGGAATATTACCCCACTCACCTGGCTCTGTATTTCATTTTCTGTCCCTAATCAATATTGTATACCCACATTCTTTTTTCTCCACCTTTACTTTTATTTCACCTCTTCTCTTATTGCTGTCTCTCCCTCATTGACGCTCTCTCACTCCTGTTCAGTTCTTTCCATTTATTTCCATAATATGGACAAAAGAATTAAACATCCATCTCTCTGTCTTTTTTGTGTCTCCTATCAGCGATGCCGGTGTCGTTCCCTCTGTCCTCATTGTCTCTGCAGCCGGCTGATCAGAGGATGAGGGGAGCTTTCCTCAGGTGTAAGTACCACATCTATCCTCCATCCCCTCTGCTTCTCCAACTCTCCACCTCATCACTACATTCCTTTGTTTCTCCCTCCCTTCCTCTCTGCAACCTTTCTCTTCTCTCCCTCCAGTGCACCTATTCACTATGACCATCCTGCATGTCATTCCCCATCTGTCTCCTCCTCTTCCTCCTTTCTTTCTTTCCTCCTTTTCCATCCTTTTCTCTTTCTTCTCGCCATGCTTCGAGTTCACCAGATAATGAGAGTCCTGCTGGGAAATCTGAGAGCCCAGTATGGATCCCCATCAATAATGGATGGCAATCATACTGTATTTATGACACCCACGTCCGTCATTAAAAGCAGTGTCTTGTCCCGACAGAAACAAGCCTGCTGACAGGATGACAGCGTGCCATCACCCTTGTTAGGCATTAATAATTGATTTGGTCCTAGGAGGATTAGGGTGCATAACACATCTGTTGGTCGGTCTGTGTCCCACTCAACTCTGGATGTTGGGAAATACCTTATAGTAGAGAGAAGAAAGAGGAACTTACTTACTTACTTCTCTTTTGGTTTCCTTCCCTCCAGTTTCATGTCGTCTATCCTTGGACCCTGACACAGCCCACCCTACCCTGGTCCTCCTGCAGGGGCCCCAGGGTGCGCACTGTGGCGAGGAGCCCCAATCCTACCCCCCGGACCAGCAGCGCTTCGATTCAGTGGCCCAGGTCCTGTGCAGGGAAGGCCAGTTTGGTGGTGCCAGCTACTGGGAGGTGGAGTGGAGGGGCGGGGGATGGGTTGACATCGGCGTCACCTACAGAGGTATCGGACGCAAAGGTGGCGGTAAACCCTGCCTGCTGGGGCGCAACGAGAACTCTTGGCGACTGAGGTGTACACATGCCGGATACGCTGCCTGGCATGACAACCGCAAGACCACGGTGGCTGCACCGCCATGCCCCAGAATCGGCGTGTTCCTGGAGCGCCAGAAAGGAGCGCTGTCCTTCTACAGCGTGTCGGACACAGTGGTGCTCCTGCACACCTTTCGTTGTCCGTTCTCTCAGCCGCTGTACCCGGCCTTCCGCCTCGACCTGGACTCCACCTTGCTCATCTGTCCTCATGAGGGGCAGGGAGGAAATGCACACCCACCCTAACACTAACACATACAACTGAAGGGTTTGCCGGTGTGGAGGCAACAACATCAGGAGGAAGCATCACAGTCAGGAATGCTTTTCTTTTTCCTATATGTCTTTCTGCATAGTCTCTTCTTCTGTGTCTCTCTTGAATAACAGGTTTTTCTGTGTTTTTCCCTTTGAATGTTAAGTAGTCTTTTTGGATCCTTGTTGGGCACACTGTCATTTAAACATTCACAATATGCACTTTTCACAGCGCACTTATGACTTGACATGGTAGGAAAAGCACAGTTGTTAATGATAACATGAAAGGCATACTATGCAAGATTTTCCCTAAAAAACAATATATACTCTCACACAAAGGTAATCCGTCTCAATAATCACTTGTGACCCACTAGTGTGGCGATGTCTGTATTTGCAGAGAACCTGCCCTCTGCCTGTATTTTCTTATTATCTTCTTATTTTGGTTTGTTCGGGACGTTTCTTGGGTTCAACCATTATTCATTTTATCATCATTTACACTTGTGTTTTTCCTGCTGGCATATGTCAGTGTTTACACTGAAAAAGGTCTAGTCAATATAGATGAGTGAAGAAATGCTGTGTTGGAAAAAAACATGTTTAAACAATCCACTCTGTTATGGTTTGAATTTTTTTTTTAATAAAAAAAAAAAGTATGTGGGCTGATATGTTTTATACTGTATGATAAAGATGGACGACGACACAACTGCTCCATAAAAGTGAAGCCAAAACAACTTCATCGCCCCCTGGTGGCTGGCTGCAGTATAGGACATAATCTCTATGTTAACAGACAGGACATGAGCCAAACTAAAAGTTTAAGGTATATGTCAAATAAATTTTTCCCAAAGATGGTTTCTGTAATTTTAGGTAGTTCTCTTGCTGCAGTGTGTTCAAAGGTTCATTTCTCTGATAAGTTTGGTTTTAATTAGTTATTTGATGCCATAAAAATGTGATTGATGCCGCCGCTTGTGATTGGTTGGATGAGTGAATAGGTGGGAACTCAATACTGTGGAGATTACTACTGTGCAGACTGTACTCTACTGGCTCCAAATTACATCCCCAGGGCAAGATGGCAGCGGCTGTGTCTGGGATATTTTGGCTTCATTTTTGTTCAGTGGGAGATGTGTTGTCCATCTATATATACAATCTATGATCTGAATCAACAATACAAATATACTAAAAAGTATTTGTGTTTAACATTGTTTTCTTTGTACTGAAAAATGTTGTAAATACATTTTATGGGATTTTTTTTAATTTTACTCTACAATGACAGGCTGAATATTGAGTACCTGTGGCTACTTGAATACCCACAGCAGTAGATTTTTTTCTGCATCAACATCACTGCCATGTGACATGGGAAACCTCTCTTAGTTTTTCATGATGAACACATTACCTGCACAAGTGACCTCAGCTTCAGATTAAGTCAAGGCCATACTGTAGCAGATGTTTTCCTTTAGGTCATGTTTTTAAGGTCATTTCCTTTCATGTGGGCGAGTTTTTGTGTGCACCACATTGCAGATCTGTCTTTAAGGTAGAATACCATGAATTAAAAGAGTTCACTACATGGTCGAGATGTGTATTTAAGGTTTAATGAGAAGATCACTGCCACTTGGCAAGAAAGCGAAGCCGAATTACCAACATGTGAAACTACTCCTTTAACGCTACATTCACAATATGATTTTTTTCCTTCCAAGGACTATCATATCTGTGTCAGTATGTAACTAATATTCAGTAACAAGGAATTATTACATATTTTAAAGTGATGTTTTAAAAGGTACGACATTTTCCATCTCCACCATGCTAATGCTGTGTGAGGCGAGCCACGGAAGCCACCACAACCTGGCTAAAATGTGGTTTCAAATCTACTTTCCGACACAAAGTGCTTCATTAACAGACATGTATATCGCATGCTTCCAAAAAAATCCAATCCTACTATTATCTCATATCCAAACATATCTAATCAAGTTAATATTACCTCTGATCCATTCAGTCAAGGTCAGATCTGAGAAAATATGATTTGCAACTTTAAGCTGTTCACACTGATAAGAGAACATCAGATAAGAGGAAACATATCAGGACAAGAACTTGAAACATTTAACGAAGTTTGCCACTGTTTCCTTTGATTGTAGCATTGTGATTTTTTTTTAAAAGATTATTATTTTGGCTTTTTGCCTTATTGAATAGGAAAGTGTGAAAGAGGGAGGGGCTGACATGCATCAAAGGGTAGTGGGTTGGAATTGAACCCACCACTGCTGCAGCAAGGCCATAACCTTTGAATATGGGGTGCTCGTTCTACCAGGTGAGCGTTAAGAGTGTTCAGTCATCTGGGGAGGGACGACCAAGACTGCGTTGTAGGTGGGTGACCAGAACTGAAGAAGCGTCTTGGATGAGAGGGGAAACGTCTTCAAGAAACTCAAGTAATTCCAGTTACCTACGATATAGCACTTAAGAATACCATGACTTGGATGACTCAATCTTTCCTACAAGCCCTGTAACATATTCCCTAAGAGTGTGACTGACGTCTTCTTCCATCTGAATGGATACCACACTGTAGCCACAGTTTTTCTTGGATTATGAGATTGTTTTTTGCCTCATTGATTTTTTGTTTTTGAATGGTGCTATTTCAAAGGATTGTGATAATAACTTGACCGAGCACTGTGTGAGGCCTTTAAACCAAACTATTTGTTAAATGTAAATCAACTATTCACATTCCAAAGACACAAAAACATCACACAGGTGCATAGAATCTAATTATTAACTTTAACCTGTATTAGAACAGTGACAGAAAACGTATCAGACATATCCAACAACCTTTAAGGTATTACATCTATGCTACTCTATACTTTTAAAGTTACAACACATGCAATTCCACCAACCTGATCGTATCTGGCAGGTCAATCCAAAGCAAGAAACACTTTTTTATTTTGCCATGAAGTGCATTATTCCACAAGCTGTCAGACGGTAACATGAACTGCAGTTCTGTAATATTTCATCTTGTAGCCTTTTCTCCTCCCGTTTACTTACTGTGCTTCAGTTCCTCGATGTGACTGTAAAATATGTTGTAATTGTCTGAGTGTCTGAGTTCATTCCACCTCGGCTCACAATAAACTGATCCATGGAGGTCTGAACTGGCAGTGTGAGACTGTTTTATGTTGGAAACATTAGAACATGGTAACAAGGATTTAAACTGGAGTGGGTGGTTATCACAGATAAATATCACCTTTGTTAGGCACTAAGTTAAAGATATGACAGCGTACAACCAGTGATTGGTAGTACGATGTACAGTTTCACGTACTTCTTTTTGTTCAATAATAACTACATGATTCCCCTTCTCATAAAAAAAAAAACCAAGACAGTGTTTGGCTTGCATTTCCTAATTTTATGTTTTTATTACTTAAATTAAAAAAATGCATTTTTTTAAGGTGTAGTTAAGGTTTTAACTGTTTTAATATGTTTAATTTTTCCATTAATTTCAATCGTATAGTTCAACCCATATGTAAGGAAAATCAGTTTAGACCATCCATTGTTACAAAACTGTATTCTTTTCACAGTCTCCGTTTTTGCCATCTTACATTTTAAGAAACTGAGAAGCTATTCTGCCCAGTGGGTGACAGAATTTAAATTTTTGGGAGCCTACTACAGCACTTTACATAACTGATTTCACAATGCTGTAATCAGCTGTGTCAAATTGTGTTTATCTCAAAATAATGAGATAGTACTGTTTCTCATTATTTTGAAATTTTGAGTCGATATTTTGAGATAAGTCACTATTTTAATAAAGTATTTCGTTATTTTGAGATACTAGCTCATTATTTTCAAGGTTAATGATTATTTGGAGACACCAAGTCATTATTTAACTAAGTACAAAGACTTTGTGGCTCAGGAGGTAGCTTGGGGGTACAAAGTTTCCACCAAGTGAAAGCTCAGCAGCTCAGTCCCCAGCTCTCCAGAATCCAGGCAAAGAATCCTCAGGTGAGTCTCAAATTGTGTGAGTGTGTTTGAATGTTTAAAAACTGTATGGTAGCTTCAGCCACCTGTGTGTGATTGTCACAAGTAGCTAGTGTTAACGAATTTTGAGTGGTCAAAATACTAGAAAGGTGCTGTGCATGTCCATTTGGAGATACCAAGTCTTTTTGAGACGATTTCTCATTTTAAGATACTACGTCATTATTTTGAGTTACAAAGTCATTTTGAGAAATGTCTCCTCATTTTAAGATACAAATTCATTTTGAGATACTAATTCCTAATTTTGAGAAAGTTTCTCAATATAGATACTAACATTACTTTGGGGTTTCTCATTATTTTGAGATACTCAGTCATTTTGAGATAGGTTCCTAAGTAAATCACTATTTGGATATACCAAACCATTATTTTGAGATAAATTAGTCATTATTTCTCAGTATTTTCAGATACTAATTCTAAATTTTGAGAAAGCTTCTCATTATAGATACTAAGTCATTGTTTTGGTTTCTCATTAATTTAACAATTTTGAGGTAGGGTCCTAAATAAGTAATTATTTAGATAGATCAAGTCATTATTTTGAGGAAGTTTTTTCAATATAATAACTTATTTATCCCAAAATAATTACTTAACCAGGATCCAATCTCAAAATGACTTTGTATCTCAAAATAATGACTAACTTAGTTTATAGATCAGCTGACATGAAAATTATTGATGAAAATAACAGATTTGGTACTGAATTCATTTCATTCATTTAATTTATCACACTCACTGCCAAATATTTACTGCTTCCTGTTTCTCAAACATGAAGATGTTCCCCTGCCTTAACTTATCAATTTTGTTTTACCATTAATGATTAATTGATTATTAGGAAATTAATAGATTAGTGATGATGGAAAAATATTACCTGCAGAGCTATAATACCATATATAAAATTCCAAATACTCTCTTCCAAAAATGTAAAGTATGTTCTGCTATCAACAGCATGTTTTATGAGAGTAATATTTATTAATTTATTGAATTGGCAAAATATTATTAAAATATATTTATTTATAATATCTTTAAATATAGTTTATATACTTTTTTTTTTGTTGTTGTTTTGCCAATCCAATAAATAAATAATAAATAATAATCCAATAAGTTGTTTCCAGTCAGTGCTGCCTGACAGTCCCAACTGAGGGAACAAAAGTCCCGTGAATGCTCCTGAGGAAGTCTCGTCACGTGACCTCAGCCAACGTAAACAGATGTCATATGATTTGCGGCTGACTTTCCAACATGGCGGCCAGGAAGCAGCAGTTTGCTGTTGCTCTTCTCTTCATCCTCGGTGGAGTTTTAAGTTTTCCTGTCGGGCAGGAGACCAAACAGTCTGTCACGTGCGGATATGAGGTCAGCTGCGTTACTGCTCTGCTCTTTTATGACTGTATTATTTTTATGTGTTTGACATGAGTAGTTTGCTAAAGCTGAAGGTGATTCCAGCTACTTTCACTTTCACTCATCTTCCTTTTACGTCTTGTTAGTTAGTTTGTATGTATGAGGAAGTGTGGTTATATTGAGAATATACATTAAAAAGAGGGTTTATTTCTTCTTATATGTCTGAATATTGTGTGTCCTCTGACCCTGTGCCTTCATTATCAGTAGTGTAGCAGTCCAGTGTTGTAGATGTGTCCTTCCTTAGTGTGTATTTGTGTGTGTGCAGTCATGTCATGCCACCAAACCCAACATGCTGAATGTCCACCTGGTCCCTCACACACACGATGACGTCGGCTGGCTCAAGACTGTAGACCAGTACTACTATGGAGGTCAGTGTCTCACAGACACACACACACACACACACACACACTGAATATACCTCCCACTCACACATTCTTGTGCAGGTACTTCCCCTCTCTTTTCAAAATACAGGAAGCTAACCTTATGTTTAGAACATGCAAAGTAACAATCTCTCTTTTACATGCTTACAGTTGATAAATTAAAAACCCTACGTAACAAATGGTCTGTTGGCTAAAATGTAATACATGCAGTGCTAACTTGTGCTGCAGAGACATAGTGTGTAAACTTAATTAATTAAGACTTGTTATTATATTGCATGCCAAGTTTATAGTTCTAAATCAAATGGTTATAACCATCCACACATGTATCTTGGTTTCAAAATGTCTCATTTACTTCTGCCTGTATAGAAAATTTAAAGGAACAGTGTTTAAGATTTAGGGGGATTTAGTGGCATCTAGTGGTGAAGCTTGCAAATTGCAACCAGCTGAAGCTTCTCCCAGTTAGAATTCCTTCAGTGTACATTGTTCACTTATCTGCAGAGGCCTTTTCCTCTGTAGACAAACAAAACCAGGTGATTAAAACCTGTAAAAACACTGAGTAAATCATTTTCACAATATAAATATATAAAAATATGAGCCCCTGCTAATGTGTACTCACCTTTTTTCTCTGATAACTAAAAATTCATATGTTCAGGAGGTTTCTACTGGGAGCCGAATTATCCACAGAGCTTTCTTCCTCTCCAAACCAAACGGACCTGTTGATTTATACCATTAAAAACACTGATTAAAGCAGTTTCACGTTACAAATCACTGTTTCTCCAGGGTAGTTTGGCTTATTGGAGACAGGCTGCTAGCACCTGCTAATGTGTGCTCACCTTTTTTCTGGGATAACTTAAGATCCAGACATTGAGGATGTTTTTACCGGGAGCTGGTTCATCCACAGAGGTCTCCAGATTAAAAGATTAAAAAAAAAAAAAGTTTTTCTGACACTGCTGGTTATGGAGGGGCTGCTAACTACAGTGGTCAGCACGAAAACATGAATGGCTTTATCTAGAGCCAGTGTTTGGTTTGTCCATTCTGGGCTACTGGAGAAACATGGCAGTGCAGCACGGTGATCTCCATAGACAAGGACCCGCTCCCTATGTAGGTATGAATGGGTCATTCTTAGGTAATGAAAACACAACAATTCTCATTCTCAGGTGATCACACACTAAAGAATACATATTTTAAGATACTATATTCCATTCTTGCTGATATATCCATGTAGATCCTACACCCTGGACCTTTAATACATGAGTCAGCAGAGCTACATTGTGCTGCAGTGACATCTGCCTGTAGAGCAAATTTAAACTGCTCCACTTTTTTTTAAAACAGGTGTTTTATAATGGTTGTCATGTTAACAGTCTGTCTCCTCAGTTGGATGAATAATAGAGTGTTGGACATTATCTCATCAGCCCTCTCATGACCATTGTATGCCCTGTCATAACATGCCTTCTGTCAGTTGTCATCTGAATCAGATTTATTGCCAAGTAGGTTTTCACATAAAAGGAATCAACCTCAGTGATTAGGTACAGAACAATGAACAAGAAAAACAACACTTGCTCCACTGCAAACACTTAAAAACAAACACTGAAGACGCTGGACAACAAACTGCCAAAGTTACCATCCTTGTACCATCATTCAGAAGTGTAATCTCCTGACCTTTGACAGCCTTATGTGCCGTGCCGATGTTAGTTTAGTGATCAATAATCTGGTTCCTCCCCCATTAAAAGAGAACATATCACTGCACTCAACAGAGGTGACTGTGCTATACAGCGCAGATCTGCTAAGTCTGGCAGATCAGCCCTCTGTCTTAGAGCACTGAACTTTTTGAGCTCAGTACAAAGTTACATCAGAGTGCGGCAGCTTTACTGATTTTAAATTCAAGATAAAATCATGGCTAAAATCAACCGAATCATGTACAGACCAGCTTTAAATGCAAACACTGAGTGTGTTTTAAAGGTTCAGTGTGTAGGATTTAGGGGGGTATTGGCAGACATGTACTGTAATATAAAAAGTGTGTTTTCTTTAGTGTAAAATCACCTGAAAATAAGAATCATTGTGTTTTTATAATCTTGGAATGAGCTGTTTATATCTACATAAGAACGCTGGTCCTCGTTTATGGAGATCACAATGTTGCACCTCCATGTTTCTACAGTAGCCCAGAGCAGACAAACCAAACACTAGCTCCAGATAGGGTCATTTGTGTTTTTGCGTCTTCACGTCGGCCGCTGTAGTTAGCATCCCCTCTGGGATGAGCTGAACAGTGTTGGAAAAACTACTGTTTTTAACGTGAAATTGCTTTATTCAGTGTTTATAGCAATTTAAAACAACAGGCCCGTTTGTTTTGGAGAGGAAGAGACCTCTGCAGATAATTCGGCTCCTGATAAAAACTTACCACAAACTTAAATTATCAGAGAAAAAAGGTTGGTACACATTCGCAGGTGCTGGGCTAATGGCCTGTCTGTGATTAACAGAACAGCATATCTCTGTGGATAATTCAGCTTCTGCTAGAAACCACTTGAAAAATGAACACTAAAAAAATCCTTGCCAGTAGTTAATGCTTGGAGCACATGAGAAGTTTCAGCTGGTTGCAGTCCACAATCTTTACCACTAGATGTAACTAAATCCTACAGACTGCTCCTTTATGTTGTAAAATCTTGCTGTTGCTGATGTTGTCGCTTTAAAGTGAATATGTACTGTCTTCTCTAGTTTCATTTTTCTTAACGTAAGTATTATTTTTTGTTTCCTGCCCATCGACTACAGATGTTAATTAGGTTATAGCTCACTAGTGCAGCTAAGAAACAGTGCATTGTCCCTGTCAGAGAAAACAAATCAATAAAGTGAGAGAAAAGAAAAAGTAAAAACAAGTACTGCAATAGTCAAACATCATGAAAGAAATAAAATAAAAAAATGTCCTTAAAAATATGTAATATCTGTTTTTTTAAATGTAAACGCTCTACAAAAAGAGGATGCAAATGTGCAATTTACAAAGTTAATAATCCCAAATTTTGTGTTACTATAAAGTCAGATGTGGAGACTTTACAATGTCTGTTGCCTGTGGATCGGGAGTCCCTGACAAGAGATCTTGCCCCTGTGTAGGGTCTCAGGTCTTATTGTTGCGGCCAGCTGCTGTCCTCATAAACTAACACTGCAGTAACAGTTTTATAGTTTTAGTGCATCACATGTCTTTTTATAGTGAGAGCGGCCGTGTGTTCTGCAGGTGACCATCATATTTTACTGACCTGTGTGTGGGTATGTTAGCAGAGATATTATATGGATAGATAGTGTGTATATGTGCATGAACACAAACTTTGATCCATTTTTAAGTGTAAGCACAGAGGTTTGAATTTAAGGTTAAAACAAGTAAAAATAATGTTCAGATATTTTTCAGTATTTTTCAATTTTGTTGTTGCCATAAAAGCAGCTGTATTCTGGTGTTTTTACTTCAACTTAAAAAATGTTGGTTATTATTTTTGAGTAAATATATTTCAAAGATTTTTTTGTCACTCATCGCAGTGGCTAAATCCATACACTGTCACTTTTGTCTTCCATCTATGCATATGTGTGTGAATCTGTGTGTAGATCGTAACAACATCCAGCATGCCGGGGTGCAGTACATCCTGGACTCAGTGGTGGATCAGCTGTTGAAGAATCCTGACAGGAGGTTCATCTACGTGGAGACGGCGTTCTTCTACCGCTGGTGGAAACAGCAGAGCTCCAGCATGCAGCAGACAGTCAAACAGCTGGTGAATGAAGGTACGGGAACCAACACAACCACACATTTACATCTACACTGGAGGGGTTTCATAACCTTCTGAACACTCCCCTCGCCGTTCCTCCAGGTCGTCTGGAGTTTGTGAATGGCGGCTGGTGTATGAGTGACGAGGCCACCACCCACTACAGCGCCGTCATCGACCAGATGACCGTGGGCCTGAGGTTCCTCAATGAGACTTTTGGGCCTTGTGGTCGTCCCCGTGTCGCCTGGCACATCGACCCCTTCGGTCACGCCCGAGAACACGCCTCCATGTTTGCACAGGTAATTCATCTCAAAGGAATAGTTCAACATTTTAGGAAATACGCAATTATAATTATAATTATTGATTAATCATCAGACGATATTTATTATATTATTTATATATTTTGAGTTTAGGACAGGGTCTATACCATCCTAACTTAGGATTCCTAACTTCGGAAATCCCTGATTTTGGATGGTTCTGTAACAGCTAAATTACTATCCTAAGACAACATATGATTTGTTCCTAAATGCAGTTTGGATACATGTTTCTGTAATACCAAAAATCCTAAATGCCAACCTAAATTGAGATAAGATAGGATTTCCGTCATAGGAGGTTTGTGTTAGGCCCCTGTTGTTTGTGTGTGGTTGCCAGGCAACCAGCGGAGACTTTAAGAACACTTTGGTTTAAATAAACAAGATGTAATCTGTTAATTGGTGAGTTTTAAAGGTGCTGGTAGGCGAAGTTTGTTGCTTTTAGACAGAGCCAGGCTAACCGTTTCTCCTTGGTTTATGCTGATCCAAGCTAACCAGCTGCTGGCTGTAGCTTCATATTTTCTGTACAGACCACAGAGTGGCATCAATCTTCTCACTTAATAAGCTTATTTCCTAAAATGACACTTATTCCTTTAAATTATTGGCCCAGACACACCAAACTGACATCAACGACAAGCGGCAACAAGGCCGACTGTTGCGCCACCTCACATGGCCTGTGTCTCTACCGAAAAGTTGCACTTGAGCACACTGTAAAGTCTACAGCCAAGAGGCAGCTAGCATGTACGTTCTGAGCCTGCGTAAGAGGAGATAACTCTCCACACCAGCAGGTGGCGGTAGCCTGAATTTGTCATTCAAAGAGGGATGACATTTTTTTGTAGGCTGACATGGAAGTTAGCTTCACTGTGGTTCTCTGGTCAAAAAGCAGATGGCATTTTCCCAATGGATGGTGGATTATTGCAGAAAAGAAGCTCTGCGGAAAACAAACATTTATGATACTTCAACGTTTTGTTCAGAAAGATAATCTTCACAAATGAACACCACCTTTATAATTTTTGAAGCATAAGTACAATCTCCAGAAGTAATAAACTAATGTAAGGCTATAAACGAACTACACCACAGTCGCATCACTTTAAGGCGCCATCACAATGAGGCAGTGATGCCGTGTTTGGCGTGATGACGTTCTGTAGGCTCATTTAGCCTTTTTCAAGACATGTAAAAACTTCACAAGTGGGTTATTTACTGACGTAATTTATGTTGTAGAACCAATTATGAAAGTCACCTAAGCTTGTGTGAATCACAGACCTTATTTCAGGCGTCTAACCAAAAACCAATTGACTTTAAGACAAGGGAACAAATGCTAACTTATTTCTGGGTTTTAGGACACACTCCTGCACATCTGTCTCGACTTAAGATGTATGTTTGATTTCCTCACTTGTGTCACTCTTCTTTACCACTGAGCTGAACTTCCAATCAGAGTCATTTCACTCACTGACGGGCTCCACGGTCTCTGACACTGACTCAACATGTGAATCGTCTGAAAAAAGCAGACAAGGACCAACTTGTGGCAAAAACTAGGGTGACAGACACTCATTGACAGCACGTGAGTCGGCTTGGTGTGTCAGGGTCCTAAGACATGTCTGTCCATGGCTTCAGCCTGCAGCCACCCAGTTAAACGTCTCTGAGCTTAAGACTAACTGTTACCTGTGTGTCTTTCTTCAGATGGGGTATGACGGCTTCTTCTTTGGTCGTCTGGACTACCAGGACCGTGCTCGCAGGATGGGGGCGAAGGAGCAGGAGCTTCTGTGGAGGGCCTCTGACAGCCTCACAGCCCCCATGGCTGACCTCTTCACCGGTAACAAAACTCCCACACATGCACAAATACATCTCCTTAAAGGGCCAGTTTACTCAGTTTATAAAAAGAAATATTTTTTCACATGGGGTGCATGACCAGGGGCAGGGTGTTTTTTGGAATTTAATCTTTGCCCTTTACCCCCCCTACACACACACACAACAGGGATCCTTCCCAATGGGTACAACCCTCCTGAGGGCTTCTGCTGGGACCAGTCCTGTGATGACGCACCAATCAGAGACGACCCTGACCTGGAGGACTATAATGTTGATGACGTGGTGAAGCGCTTTCTCGCCATCGCTAACAGTCAGGTATCTCCCTCTTAATTAAGTACATAAGCTTGTGTAGAAAACAGCTTCACATGTTTTTGTTGCTTTTTAGAAACCACTAATTCGTCTAATGTTTTTCCTCTCTCAGGCCTCGGTTTATAAGTCCAATCATATTATCATGACCATGGGCTCAGACTTCCAGTATGAGAATGCCAACCTGTGGTACAAGAACCTGGACAAGCTGATCCACTACGTCAACGCCCAGCAGGCAAATGGCGTCAAAGTCAACGTCCTCTATTCGACCCCGTCCTGTTACCTCCAGGAGCTGCACAGAGCAAACCTCACCTGGTAACATGAGCTATGAATTCGCTTTTTGGAGTAATGGTGCCAGAATTATATCCACAATGACACCATAAAGAGCTGTCTTGTGTGTTTTCTGCTGCAACTCCATTCTCTTTTTAACCCAGGGCTTTGAAGACGGACGATTTCTTCCCCTATGCGGACGACGCTCATGACTTCTGGACCGGCTACTTTACCAGCCGACCAGCGCTGAAGCGTTATGAGAGGATCAGCAACAGCAACCTGCAGGTAGTTTGAGGTTCACTCTTGGAGTTCAAACCTGGTTTAATTTTAATGTAAAGCTAAAATCCAATTACTTTCCTTACAATGAAAGTTAACAGAGCATCAAGTACCACATATGGGAAGCAGCTTTACTCTGCTCTGGTTGGTGTGCAAAGAAAATGTCATCAGTAGAGGCCATTTAAAGACACTTCTTACTCTTTTTTTGTAGTTAGCATGTTAAATGGGTAGTTTGTATTATTTGAAGTTGTGTGAGGTGCTTATCCATAGTCAGTGTATTACATATAGTAAATGGTGGTGGCATGCTTCCGGTTTGTAAAAGCAGACACAAGTACTGCCACAGAAGCTAAGTGATGTACTGCTGTGGACTGGGGGTTGCAAAATGTTTTTTAGCCACAGAGAAAATTCAACATCAGTTGAAGTGTGCGCAATGTTGAGAATATTTCCACAGCTATACCTCACCATAAAAACAGTTAATGGCTTTAGTTCCCCATTGACAGTCATTTTAGCTCATTGGACATGGGAGCAGCTGGTCTACCACTGCTTCAATCTAGGGTTCCAACGATATGAGATTTTCACAGTACAATAACCGTCCTAGAAAATATTGCGGTTTCAGGGTATCGCTGTATTACAGGATTATTATTATTATAATTATTATTATTATTATTATTATAAGTCAAAATGACCCTTAAAGGTATGACAACAGAAGGGTTATTTTTAGCTGAACAAATGTTTTATTACTATAAAAAAGTTTGTGTATAAAAGTCTCCCTTTTGAAAATAACTAAAATAAAATTAAGATGGTCTGTCTAGTTACATTTGTTTGATATCATAGATAAGTAAATGTACACGATATGATAACCGTCAACTTTGATATCACGGGTTACTTAAAAACTGATATACCAGCAGCTCCTGTGTTCAGCGATATTAAATTACCATTTTTGTCAAAGGAGTCTGGCTTAGAAGAGAGCAATATAACAGCTTCAGTTCCTTGTTGGAAATCACTGTCTGACAGAAAGGTAAAACTGTGACAGTATTCTAAATATAACACTCACTTAAACTGATACTGATTCTTTTTAAGTGGCTAAAATAGGTTTTGTTGGCGACCCCTCCACAACACTTCATTGCTTAGCTTCCTTGTCGGATTTTAGCCTGCTTCTCCAAACTGGGGACGTGCTAACCGTGTTTACTGTGTGTAATACACTGTCTAAGGATACCCTGTACTACCGGCCGCACTGTCCCTTTAATATGCTCACCTACAGCTTGTAGACTAACATGCTGACAGTATAGTTTGACACCCTGTGTCAGTGAGCTCTGTAGTATTCAAACCTAAATACATTATGGCTGTTTCAAGACAGTTGATCAGAATATGTTTTGATGAGCTCACTCAAAACAAACAACCTCACATACCTCCCATGTCCTCCTCCTGAGGACATGAAAGTACATAAAGTAATGATGATGAATAATTAAAACAAGTATCACAACCAGCTATGATGTATACCATTGTGTAGAGACAGGAATAATAGCAGCACATCAATGATTTAAGAGATAAAGTGCTGTTTCAGACGGCAGCTGTCGTAGTTCAGATTCTTTCAGTCGTCTAAAAGAAGACAAAGCAGGCTGAGAGCAGCCATGAAGAATAGTGTGTTCCTTTTTTCTGCAGATTTCAGTAAGGGATAGCAGCTTCTGGCCTGTGATTTTTCACTGTTATTAGCACGCTGTCGTGATATGTTAGCTTTAATCTCAAGGTGCAGTCGAGGGATTCTGTAAAGGTTATCCTTTCAGACAAATCCAGACAACTGCACCGCACCAAACTCCCTTTTTTCCCCCATGTTGACTTGTTGACAGTCGTCTGATTAATGTCATATTACTCCATCTGTACTCTGGTGAAGAGCTCTGCAGACTGTTGTAACTGTGCGGCTTTGTTTTGTTCCAGACGTGTAACCAGCTGGAGGTACTCGGTGGTCCCGTCTCCAGGAAGGGACCCTTTGGGCAGGGCGACAGTCAGACCATGAGTGAGAGTTTGTTACATTACTTCTTACTGTAAAAAAAACAACACTGGTGACATCTGGCTGATGATGACAGAAGCCTTTGTGCTTCCATCTTGTGGTCACATTTATACCACAGGGAGAAAAGTTCTCGCCAAATGCCAAGTCACTAATGGCTCACTAAGTCACCACATATGGCCTGTCATATTTCTCAGTGTCACAGTGGTCTTAACATTAAAAAATATAATGGGAGACCAGACAGAGGACTGACTGACATGTACTTGTTTTGGTTCTCATTGTCAGAGAAAGCCATGGCGGTGGCTCAGCACCATGACGCAGTGTCGGGCACAGAGAAGCAACATGTAGCAAACGACTACGCCAGGAGGCTCGCTAACGGCTGGCAACACTGTCAGGTACTTTACGCTGCACACAGGATCTTGTTGCTCAGCATAATCTCTATATTTATGTGCTCATATTGTGAGCTAATGTGGAACTGCTTTTGCGGTAGAGTCTTTGTATTGTCTGCACAGGAACACAACACACACAAAACTGTTTATTTGGATCAGCTGTAAATGCTTATTATGGGGCTTATCAAGCCTACTGGAGATGCTACTTTCTACGAAGCCCTTTGTCAAGCTGACACCATTTTGCATGTCCTTTTTTTTTTTTTTAGCTTTTTTAAGAGTTCTAACTTTGACTTGTCTCTCAGGTTCTGGTCAGTAACAGTCTGGCCGCTCTGAGTGGCTCGACTGCTGAGCGAGTCTACTGTGACAACCTCAACATCAGTGTGTGTCCTCTCACCGAGTCCAGCAAAAAGGTGACACACACACACATATAAAAAAAGCTTCACTTACTGTTATTGTGGGGGCCCCTTTTTTAGTAGGATTAACTCCATGACCTCTTACCAAACCACCCATAACTTTCTGAATCTAACCGTAAAGGGGAACACCTCCTAAAATAAGAATTTCGATATGTTATTTCGATGACCTTGGAAAGTTTAATCAGTATTGAGTAACGTATGAATTTTGAAAATGGGTGCAGTCCCCCTTTGACATGACCTCATTCTTACCATAAAACCATTAAACCAAGTCTTAGATCAAGACTGTCAGTGAATTAATAAATAAACATTCACCTTAAATTGAAAATACTTTTACCGTGTGTAAATATAAACTATAAAGTATCTAAACTTATAAACATATTAATCTGTGCTGTTATTGGACAATGCTCAATCTCACCCCTCTCTCTCTCTCTGTCTCTCAATCTCTCAGTTTTCAGTCAATGTGTACAACCCTCTCGCCCGTCCCGTCACTTGGCCGGTTAGGCTGCCGGTGAATGGAACGGCATACGTCATATCAGACGCTGAAGGCAGATCTGTGGACTGCCAGGTTAGTGTGTGTGTGTGTGTGTGTGTGTGTTTGTGTGGCAGTATTAACAGACAACAAACTTTGCAGTTGTCAGACATATGATGGAGATGATACTGATCAGGGCTGCAACTAGCAGTTTTTTTCGTTGTCGATTAATCTGTCGTTTATTTTCTCAGTTAATCAGTTAGTTCTTTAGTGTTCTCCAAAACCCAAGATGACTTCCTCAAAGATATTATCTTCATTCGAAAACTCCAGAAGAAGCTTAAAATGTGCGGCTCAGACCTAGTTTTTGAGTTGACAGGTTTTTATAAAATAATGTGTAGGTCCTAAATTTAGATTACCCTGTTTAGCCAATACCCTGCAGCTGTGGTGTGTGTTTCTTCTTTTGTCTTAAGACTTTAAAGCATTTTTTGAGACCTTGTCACACTGGAAATGTGAACCAAAAAGCATATTAAGATAACAGCTTCTCTGTGTCTCTGTTCCAGGTGGTTGCAGTCTCCACAGCCACTCGGGAGGTGAGGAGGAACCGAGGCTATGCTGTCAACGAGCTGGTGTTCCAGGTGCAGGCTCCTCCTCTGGGCTTCACCACCTATTCTGTGTCCCAGCTTCAGGACGGGCCTCCACCTGCCTCCACACAGCGCCGCACGCCCACAGCCATCCAGAACAAGGTCTCACCACAGCATCACACTTCCTTTGTGCTGCACAGTGAGAATTTAGAACACAATGCTTCACAGAAAGGAAAACAAACAGCATGATTTATATTTATTGTTTGTATTCTCTTCTGAAAACTGAGTGTGTTATGTGTCCACATGCTCCAGTACCTAAAAGTGACCTTTGACCCTGACACCGGCCTCTTGAGCAGCCTCAGCAACCTGGAGACCAAACAGACCATCCAACTGACACAGAACTTCTACTGGTGAGTGTCTCTGATAGAAGCACACACACCTGAATACAATGAGCCGCTTCATGTTTGAACCCTTTAGATGAAAGAGGACTTCCCTGTTGTTTGACACATGCTTTTTATGTGTGTGTTTGTGTGTGTTGTATGTTCCAGGTACAACGCCAGTGACGGTAACAACTTAATGAGTATCCAGCCTTCAGGTGCCTACATATTCAGACCCAACTCCTCCACACCTTTCATCATCAGCAAGACAGCCGTAACGGAGAGCATTCAGGTAGACGGCGAGCAGCATCACAGCTACGTTCAGCTTTATCTTATGACGCTGTCTCATTTATATTACTATATTTAGTCTAAATCAAAATGTTAGATTTAATTAAAAAGGGACATTTAATTGAATTGAGTTTGTAGGGTTTTTTTAAACATCATATTATATTTATTTGTATTGATAGAAGAGAGTCAGCTGATAGATCACATGATTCCTATCTATGCAACCAATTGGCAAATCTCATTCAGGGCGCCCTATTTAAACTGCTCTGGCCTGCCTACTGTTGCTGCTTCCTCTGCAAGCTGCTTTGCAACCTGCCTCCACCCCAGCTCCTCCTTTTCATGTTGTGTCTGACTGTTGAGTGTCATTTCTGTTTGTCATGATGCTGCTCTGTTTTGTTCCCGGGGGGTCTTTGCTGTTGCTCTCCCTGCCTTGGCTTTCCATGTAGGCACATGGAAGGGCAGAGAGGTGCGCTCTCTGCCTTAAGGCTTTTTGCGTAAGCGTGTGGAAGGGCAGAGAGGTGTGCTCTCTCTGCCTTAAGGTTTTTTGCCTAAGTGTGTGGAAGGGCAGAGATGTGTGCTCTCTCTGCCTTTAGGCTTTTTTTTTAAGCGTGTGGAAGGGCAGAGAGGTGTGCTCTCTCTGCCTTTAGGCTTTTTGCTTAAGCGTGTGGAAGGGCAGAGAGGTGTGCTCTCTCTGCCTTTAGGCTTTTTGCATAAGCGTGTGGAAGGGCAGAGAGGTGTGCTCTCTCTGCCTTAAGGCTTTTTGTGTAAGCATGTGGAAGGGCAGTGAGGTGTGCTCTCTCCACCCTATGCTTTCCATGTAGGCACGTAGAAGAGGCTTTCTGTGTAGGCCCGAAGTCAGGCAGAGAGGCCCCAGAACAGAGCCATACTGCCAAATATAATACTGCAAATGGAAATAAAGTTTTCTTTGACTAAAGTGCTCCTGACTGAAATGTAATATTCATGTATATTTGTATCCACCTCCCCTCCCTTCCCTCCAGACCCCCGTGGTGCAGGAGGTGAGGCAGTGGTTTGGTCCTTGGGTGTCTCAGGTGGTTCGTCTCTACAGCGACAGCAGAGCTCTGGAGCTGGAGTGGACCGTCGGGCCGCTGCCTATTGAGTGAGTTTATGTTTATCACATACACAGTTAAGTGATCTGTCTATATGCTGGCATATGTGTAAAGTGGAAGATGCAATATGTAAATGTTTTAAAGGCTGCATTTTTGGGATTTTGACTCTTTTATTTTTGACTTTAATTATTATAACTTCAAGCAAAACATTGCTTAATTCCTCACTCACTCTCTTTATCCATTAGTGATGACCTGGGGAAGGAAGTGATCACTCGTCTGGACACAAGCATCAAAACCTCTGAATATTTCTACACCGATTCCAACGGCAGAGAGGTGCTGCAGAGAAAGTAAGCCAAGGAAATGTTTAAAAAATGTTGAAAATACATTGTCATGAACGTAAAGAGAAAGCTCTGATTTTTTTAAATGGGTGTGTATTTGGTACTTATCCATAGTCAGTGTATTACCTAAAGTAGATGGCTGTCGGCACGCCTCCCGGTTTAAAGAAGCAGGCAGGAGTTTCGATACAGAAGTAATGTACAGCTGTGGACTGGAGCAGCAGCAGATGGTATTTTAGCCACCCTAAAAAAAGAGACTGTAGGAAACTGTAAAACTGTGCTAGAATAAAAAAATCTAACAAGATTGACATATTTGGATTTTAATGAAAAACAAAAACAGTACTGTTGAGTGACAGCATGTAAAGAAGCTCTGATATGTGTTTATTGTTTTGTCCTGAAGGAAAGATTTCAGACCCACCTGGAAACTCAGACAGTCGGAGCCCATTGCTGGAAACTACTACCCCATCAACTCCCGCGCTTTCATCAAGGTGTGTGTGTGTGTGTGTGTGTGTGTGTGTGAGTTTGTGTCTGAAATAATCCACCTCTTACCAAGCAAACAGACCAGATGAAAATTTGACAATGAGCAGTTGTTCCCAATTTTTTCCTTAGGGGACTCCGCGTCATGGCAGATTTTACGGCTATTTCATATTATTTTCAGTGCATAACAGCAGTGAACAATTGATAAACTGTACAATAACTGCAGGAAGTTTGTGTAAAACGAGTGATTTGGATGAATTTTGAGTGAATATTACATCAGAGGTGAGTTTTCCTGATATTCTTAGTAACTTTTTCCTCAGATTCTCTGTCCGTATTATTTATATTTATATTTAAAATTTTGAACAATCAGACATACTTAGTAGGCCTCTTGTTTGACAAATTCATTGTTTTCTTTTGCCTGACTCTTGACCATTGTTCTGTTTGTTCTTAGGTTAATTTAACAGCGTACTTTTCTAATGCAGGATGAGGCTGTTTAGCAAAGAGTAAAGGCTCTATGAATATATCTTGTGTTCAGGTCTTCACCAGGCCCTTATCCTTAGAGAAGTTTATATTTTAATAATAATCTAAATTTTCATTTTTTTATTTTTTTTAACCCTCTTAAAATAAAGAAGGCATCACAACGCCCCCTGTAAAGCTGGGTTGGGACCCCAAGGTTGGTTTGAAACCAGGTCTTTATAGATTGTCTGAAGTACATTTTGCACTTTATTTCTGGATGTTTGAGGTTTTCTAATGAAAGATTGTTTGCCTTACTCCTCACCGTACTAATTTTTGATGTGTGTGTTTTCAGGATGAGGACGACCAACTCACTGTGGTGACAGATCGCTCCCAAGGAGGAGGCAGCATCCACAACGGCTCTCTGGAAATCATGGTAAGACACACACACACACCTTTCAGTTCTGCTTCACACTGTAGGCTAATCCTTTTCAGGTAGTTCATCCAACACACACTCACTCTGATACACATAAACAAACACACTGTCTCCCCCTCCTCCCCTTCAGCTCCACCGCCGGCTGCTGTACGATGATGTTCGGGGTGTTGCCGAGCCTCTCAATGAGTCCTCTGCAATCTTCCCAGAGGGCCTGGTGGTCCGAGGCCGCCTCCTGCTCTCCCTCGACCGCCCACCCAGTGCGGCTGATGCACACCGCCCTCTGGCCCAGGAGGTGGTACTGCAGCCACTGCTGACGTTCACCGATGGAGATCTGCACCCAAACACTCAACTGGAGGTGAGTGAAGAGGAGTGGTGCAATAAACTGACTGTGTAGCTGCAATACAGATCACCAGGCAACCATGTCGGGTGCCATCTCTGAGGTCATGAGAAGAATTTGCCATATGCAAAAAGGTGTTTGTCTTCACTGGTCAAATCATTTAATATTAAGGAGTAATAATCATGTAAACTCTGATAGATAGATTTGTGTTTTGCTTTTTTATACCCGTGTGACACAAATCGTGTCAACAAGAGCTTGTGACATAAATAAAATGCTAAAAATAGAGCAATTTCCACCGCAGGTCAGTCTACTACCTATTTGGGTCATTGTGTATGTGTTCCAAATCTGTCCTGTTTTGAGCATGTTTGCATTTTCAGACACTGTTTTCATTTCACAAAATCTCAGGAGAGCAGGCTGAGCTGTTGTTGTTCTAAGCTCTCGTTGTACTGACATGTTTTCAGAGCTCATGATTAACAGTGACACGTAGTGTTAACGTCTCAGTAGTAATTAGAGAGACATTATGTCCTGTAATTCATGCAGCATTCCTCAAACAGATCAATCAAAAAACACGTCAGAGCAACTTTTAAATGTTTTATTTAGACAAATGATGTGAATGGGCCATCTGGCTGCAGTTACAGCCTTTCTCTGTCTGTGTGTCTGTCTGTAGTTCTCTGGGCTGCAGGCTGCACTGCCCCCTGCTGTCCACCTGCTCACACTGACACAATGGGACAAAGACTTGGTGCTGCTGAGACTGGAGCATCAGTTCCAGAGCTGGGAGAGCAAAGTCAACTCAGAGCCTGTCACTGTCAACCTGCAGGTCAGTCAGTCAAATAACATCTCATACTTAAATACATTTATGATAAAAAAAATGCTGAAATGATTAGATCATGATTGTGGACTATGACTGTAGATTATAATACATATCATTACTGGTTTACTATAACTGCTGATTCTATCTCCCTGTCTTGCTTTGTGTCCGTGTAGAAGCTGTTTTCCACTCTGGAGGTGCTGGGCATGTCTGAATTGAACCTGTCAGCCAATCAGTGGAAAGATGAGATGACACGTTTTCAGTGGACACCACAGACAGGTACAGGACACCTTTTATTAACTTTGCCACAGTGGCTCTAAACAGGCTGAAAGTAAATCTGGGCTGGAGGAACAAATAATGAGTGCAGATCATCCCAGATTCAAAGCTTCCAGCTGAAATGTAGAACACCACTGGAACAGAGTTGGGTATCAGTCATCTTTTTTTTGTACCAACAGAAATGCATCCATAGCACCAAGAATCCAAAAGCGTAAAGTCCTCAAAGATGATTCATAATCTTGTTTATTTTTTTATTAGTAAGTTCCTGATTTAAATCTAGATTTTGCTTTTGATGTTTGAGCCATTTCAAGTCATGATTTTTTTGTTGAGTTTGTTTGAACACTATAAATCAATCATTACCAATCTGTCTGACGTTGAATAAGGATGATGGTATACGACATAATTTCTCTCATTTTAATCATACGTGGCCCTCTCCACCAGGTTACATTTTGAGCTTACATTTAACTGCGTAAAACTGTGCCCCCCTCACAAGTGTCTCTCAGGTTAGGAATGACAAGTTGTTTTTCATGTGCAGCCCTCAATCATATGCTGGTTTCCTAAATTGGCACTCAGTCATAAAACTCAGAGAACCCCTGCCATAGTATTTCATTTTTTTTTTAAAAAAGAATTATAGTATAACATGTCATGGTAAAGTATGACATTAAGGTAAATCTTAAAAATTGAAAGCATAGTACAGCATGAAAATGTCGTAGAAAAATTCACATTATAGTATGTCGTAAAAAAAAAAGTCATACTTTAGTATGTCAAACAAGTCATAGTATGCTGTGTCATAAAAAGTCACAATTTAGTATATCAAAAAGGATCATAGTATAGTGTTACAAAAACAGGTAATAAAAGTGGTGTAATATGACAAAAAAAGGTTATAGTATAGTAGGCTATGTAAGAAAAAATCATATTATAATATAACAAACTAAGTTCATGGTATAGTGTGTCAAAAAAGGTCACAGTATAGTATGTCGTCCAAATTCCTGAAAAAATGTCATAGTATAGTATGTCATCCAAATTCATGAAAAAGTATAGCATGTCGTCAAAAATCATGAAAAAACCTCATAGTATAGTATGTCATCCAAATTCATGGAAAAAAAGTCATAGTATAATATGTCGTCCAAATTCATGAAAAAAATTTCGTAGTATATGTCATCCAAATTCATGAAAAAAATTTGTACTAGTATGTCGACCAAATTCATGAAAACATTTCATAGTATAGTATGTCGTCAAAAATCATGAAAAAATTTCATAGTATACTATGTCGTCCAAATTCATGAAAAAATTTCATAGTATAGTACGTCATCCAAAATTATGAAAAAACCTCATAGTATAGTATGTCGTCAAAAATCATGAAAAAATTTTATAGTATAGTATGTCGTCCAAATTCATGAAAAAATTTTGTAGTATATAGTATGTCGTCCAAATTCATGAAGAACAGTCATAGTATAGTATGTCGTCCAAATTTATGAAAAACAGTCATATTATAGTATGTCGTCCAAAATCATGATAAAAAGTCATAGTATAGCATGTCGTCCAAAATCATAAAAAAATGTCATAGTATAGTATGTCGTCCAAATTCAGGAAAAAAAGTCATAGTATAGTATGTCGTCCAAAATCATAAAAAAATGTCATAGTATAGTATGTCGTCCAAATTCAGGAAAAAATTTCATAGTATAGTATGTCGTCCAAAATTATGAAAAAAAACTCATAGTATACTATGTCGTCCAAAATTATGAAAAAAGTCATAGTATTTTATGTCGTCCAAATTCATGAAAAAAAGTCATAGTATAGTATGTCGTCCAAATTCATGAAAAAAAGTCACAGTATAGTATGTCGTCCAAAATCAACAAAAAAAAAAAGTCACAGTATAGTATGTCGTCCAAAATCAAGAAAAAAAGTCATAGTATAGTATGTCGTCCAAAATCAAGAAAAAAAGTCATAGTATAGTATGTCGTCCAAATTCATGAAAAAATTTCGTAGTATATTGTATGTTGTACAAATTCGTGAAAAAAAACTCACAGTATAGTATGTTGTCAAAAATTATGAAAAAAACTCATAGTATAGTATTGTCATCCAAATTCAGGAAAAAAACTCATAGTCTAGTACGTCGTCCAAAATTATGAAAAAAACTCATAGTATAGTATGTCGTCCAAATTCATGAAAAAAAGTCACAGAATAGTATATCGTCCAAAATCAAGAAAAAAAAAAAAGTCATAGTATAGTATATTGTCCAAAATCAAGGAAAAAAGTCATAGTATAGTATGTCGTCCAAAATCAAGGAAAAAAGTCATAGTATAGTATGTCGTCCAAATTCAGGAAAAAAAGTCATAGTATAGCATGTCATCGAAAAGCATGAAAAACCTCATAGTATAGTATGTCGTCCAAAATCAAGAAAAAAGTCATAGTATAGCATGTCGTCCAAATACATGAAAAAAGTCATAGTATAGTATGTCGTCCAAATACATGAAAAAAGTCATTGTATAGTATGTCGTCCAAATTCATAAAAAAAAAGTCATAGTGTAGTATGTCGTCCAAATTCATGAAAAAATGTCATAGTATAGTATGTCGTCCAGATTAATGAAAAAAGGTCATAATACAGTATGTCAAAAGTCACATTTTTTTCATAAAGAAAAACAGTCATGTGGTAAGGTAATACTTTATTAGTCCCACATTGAGGATATTTGCATCATGACAGCAGCAAAGGGGATAGTGCAATCAGCCAGTATCAGTTTAAAAAAGACATGATAAGTATGCATCAGTGAAAAACATACATTAGTGTAATAAGTAAACAGTAAAAAAAAACCACCTTTATTCAATTGACAGGCTGATGAATGCTGGACGTATAGGTATAGCACAATTTAGCATATACTCATTTTGCACAGTTGGTATATACTGATATTGAACATGGGACAATTGATGGTCAATACTAAGTTTTTGTATATGTGGTCCGCTGGGAGCAGTGTTGTTTATAAAGTCTGAAAGCAGCAGGATGGACCTGCGGTATCTCTCCTTCACACACTGAGGTTGAAGCAGCCTTCCACTGAAGGAGCTGCCCAGTGCTGTCAGTGTCCTGCATGGGGTGGGACATATTCTCTGGAAGGGATAATAGCTTGGCTGTCATTCTCCTTTGTCTCACCACCTCCACCGCGTCATGAAGCATCCCAGGACAGAGTTGATCTTCTTAAATAGTCTGTTGAATCTCTTCCCATCAGCTGTTCAGATGCTGCTGCCCCAGCATGCCGTTCTGTAGAAGATGGCTGATGCCACCAGAGTCAAAAAACGTCCTCAGGATTTCCCCCTGTACTCCCGAGGACGTAGGATAGTATGTCAAAAAAGTCATAGTGTAGTATGTCTTCCAAAAATGATGAAAAAACACCATAGTATGTACAAAAAAATCATAGTATGTAAAAAAAAAAAAAAAAAAAAGTCAGTATAGTGTATCGTCCAGAAATATGAAAAAACATCATAGTATGTACAAAAAATCATAGTATGTAAAAAAAAAAAAAAAAAAAAAAGTCAGTATAGTGTGTCATCCAGAAATAGGAAAAAACATCATAGTATGGTATTTTGGTCAAAGATCTCGAAAAAACATCTCAGTAAAGTATGTCTTCAAAAATTACAAAAAAAACCCCATCATAATATAGTATGTCCTCCAAAATTATGAAAAAAACTTCATAGTATAGCATGTCATCAAAAATTCTGAAAAAAAGTCATAGTACAGTATGTCGTCAAAAATTCTGAAAAAACAATCATGAATAAAGTCATAGTATAGCATGTCGTCAAAAATTCTGAAAAAAAGTCATAGTATAGTATGTTGTCAAAAATTCTGAAAAAAGTCATAGTATAGCATGTCGTCCAAAATTCTGAAAAAAAGTCATAGTATAGTATGTCGTCAAAAATTCTGAAAAAAAGTCATAGTATAGCATGTCGTCAGATTCTGAAAAAGTCATAGTATAGCATGTCGTCAGATTCTGAAAAAAAGTCATAGTATAGCATGTCGTCAAATTCTGAAAAAAAGTCATAGTATAGTATGTCATCCAAAATTCTGAAAAAAAGTCATAGTATAGTATGTCGTCCAAAATTCTGAAAAAAGTCAGTATAGCATGTCGTCAAAAATTCTGAAAAAAAAGTCATAGTATAGTATGTCGTCCAAAATTCTGAAAAAAGTCAGTATAGCATGTCGTCAAAAATTCTGAAAAAA